ATGAAATTAATTGGATCTATCACTTTCTTATTGAAATACAGGATTTGAATTTTTATCACTTAGTATTATACTAATACCATTTATATTACAAGATTATTCTTATGATTTTTATTTGGTTATATCATTTTCTTAATTGAGTACCTATGCATCTAGATCTGAGATATCAATCTTTTATTCTGCTTAGGATTTCTATTCAAAAGGATGTTGAAAATAACCAGAAATTTCATGTTTATGTAAATGTTATTATGATTCATTAAAATAATAATTTTAGTTGAATTCATCAAAAAATTATTCAGTTTTCTAAGTTTCCCAAATTAATAATAAAATATTAGTAAAAGTAACAACAATAGAATCTATGGCACTTATAAATGTTTATGTAATATTATGTGAAGATTCATAATAAGCAATCAATATACAACTAATAATAATTGGTATATTGACAAATGTTATGTAAAGTACATTAAGACAATTAAAGTAAAAAAAAGGTTTAATATTTACTATTTTAGCTTTGAAAAACGAAAAACCAAAATAACGACTCATTATTAATTTGTATAGTGGATATGAAATAAGTATAGATAAAGAAAGTAAAATAAAATTAGTAACTTTATTTTTCAATGATGAAGATTACCATCTTAGGAAATCATGATCATTCCAAATCTTCTAATAAACAAAAATTAAATGTAAAATGTTGAATACATAATTCAATGCCAAACTAACTATTATGATCCAAAAGTAATATAACTATTTGAATTCATAATAATTAAGTAATAAAAATAATATAGTTAACCATGATGACCATATTAAGGGAGTACTTAATCCTATAATTGAACCTGGCATATAAGTCTCATTTTTAAATTGTTTTGACAATAATACAGAGATGGTAAAAAATGCAAATAATATCACATGTGGAATTGGTAAATATCTATTAGATTCATGGTTGATTATAAGTTTTTCTGGTATCAATTCACAAAGTAATCCAATAGGTTAATAATTATTTGGACATTCTTATTTGCAAGCACCTTATATCAAATAATGTGGGATAAATGATTAATTACATTAAGTGCAATTAGTTAATGATGTACATTTAGTACAAGTATTTGGACATTATATACATTTTCCACTTGTAATATCAGCAAAATAAGTATCTTAACATTTTGAGACACAAATAGTTCCATCTAGAAATTATGGTGTGTCTCCTTAAATTAAACATGATGTACAAGTATTTGGATTACCAGCACAAGTTAAACAATTTGATGAACATTAAAAACATTGATTATTTAGATCATAATAATTAGATTCACATTATTAAACACAAGTAAAATTATGAAAGTAATATTAATGAATACAAGATGTACACATTTGTATTCCATTTTATAATTCACATGTTTAACAATATTAATTACATTTTAAACAAGAAGTTTAAGCAATATCTATATAATACTATTCTCCACATGTTAATACACATTATTATTATTTTAATAGATATCCATTTAAACATTTAACACATGTAGTATCATTTGAACATTAATTACATCCTGAAACACATTATTAACATTACATTTGTTATTCATTTATAAAATATCCAAGAGGACAATCTGATCTACATGTACCTTATAATTAATATTATCCAGGTTAACATTAAGTACATTAATTATAATAATTACAACTTATACATGTAGATGGACATAATTCACATACTAAAATTTAATTTGAATTGTATATCTAAAAATATCCTTATAAACATCCATTTTTATAACATTTATTATCTTTTATTGGAATATTTGCTTAACATTTTGAACAATAAGATGAATTCATTGAACATAATAAACATTCATTATCACATTTTTCACATCTATTATTAGATGTAAATGGTAAATAATATGTTTCACCACAAGTATCAACACAAATACCATCTTAATATTTATAATTATCAAAACATTTATCACATATTAGTATATTATTTATGGGTTAACAACTTTAACAATTATTAGGACATTATTAACATTAAAATTCTTGGTCATTTTAATAATATCCATCTCCACATTAATCAACACATACATTTGATTTCATATAAATATATTTCGATATCATTGAAATATAACAAGTTTCACATTATATATTATCATAATCAATAATCTTACAAGTTTTACAATTATTTAATTATGGACAATATATATTAAATTAAAATGCTCCATTAATAGAACTATCAACTAAATAATTAATATGCTCAATCCTCCTATAAGTTTTAATAGTAAATGTTCTTGGTTATTATTCATTTTAAGGAGTAGGAAGCCCATTAATTATTATTTTGTATTATAACTGAGTTGAATCAAAGGGTCCAGTCAAAACAATAATGTTATTTGATTAGATATTACACATTAATTTATTATTACTTGTATCCTTGCAAGAATAACCTGATTATGGAAGATTAAATGGAAATAATATATGAATCTGATGATTGTCTTGAATTAATCCATTTTGTAAAACAAAGTTAAATTAATAGGCAGCATTTTAAGCTCCATAATATTATTTATCAACTTTTAATTCAGTTTATGTAATGTCACCAAATTAAATGTTGCTTATATATGGTCCTTGTTGATAACTCATTAATCCATTAATAGACTATGTTGAAAATTCAAAATCTTAACTCTTAGTCATTGTATCTTTACATTTGATAGATGAAATAGATAACTTCAAAGTAGTTGGTAATAAGATTAAGTCAGTACTTTCAATTTATATATCTAATTGATTTGAGGATATTTTAGTACAAGTTTTAATTACAATTCCTTCTAATTTACATATTGGATTATTATTGATTGTTAAATCACCAACTTTGATAGTCATTTAGATAGGATAGAATTGAGGAGTTTTTGTTTTAATTGTGAAATAAAATGTATTGGATTATCCATTTTTGAATGGTTAATCAGATTCTATAATAATTAATCCATCAAATGATGATCTAGTATTAACATAATATCCTTAAATATTAGAGATTGTGTCTATTATATTATTGAATTAATCATAAGTAGTAAATTTAAAATAATTAGTTTAACTAGTATCATATGGATTTCTAATTGGGATAGATATTTAATTAATAATAAATTATTATGAAGCTTCTATTGATGATGAAAACTTAAATATTATGACTTAATCTTAAATTGTATGAATTTAACAACCATAAATATCCACATTACAAAATTATGCATTTTAATTAATAAATTTAATCTCTTAAGGTATTTCCATCCTTAATAATCCTTAAGCTGGTATACTATTTTTAGGTGTGATTTTTAAAATGAAATAAGATTGACCTCCAACTACATTCATATTATTTCCTTGTCTATCATATTGAACACTTAAAGTTCCAGGTGTAAATGAAGGTGATTTATATTGAAAATTTATCATTTTATCAACTGAAAAACCATTCTACATAGTTTAAATATAAGGTATAGAAATAGTTGAAATAGTAGATTTTGGATTTAATACATTTTGAATAACTATATTATGTGTACCAATTGTAGTAAAACATCCACCAATATCAATATAATCTGGATTAATAATTGGAATAAATACTAAATTATCACAATAACATATTAGATTAGATGATAATAATGTTTATTTTAATGCTATTCTTACAAATCCTGCTGAATTCAATGCATTCTTGATTGTTATACTAAAAGTATATTTTGAATAACTATTTATTTCTGTTGAATCAATATTCAAACTAGCTGTTAATTAATCATTCTAAACTGTAATAATTGGAAATAGAATCTAATATTGTAATACATCATTAGAATCCTTAAAATCTATTTATGATTAAATGGATTAAGTATTGCCCATAACTTTTAATGATTCCATATATAATTTCATAGAAACATCTTTAACAGCAATTGATTATGGCATTTAAGCTTTAATCAAACTTGGATTAATGACTGTAAGTTATTCTAATAAACCAATAGATCTAGCAGACACATAACCTTTCACTGTTGAAGTTGTAACAAATTCACCATTATTTATAATCTAAACTTCAATTAATGGATTTGAACTAAAAGATATAGGTAATACAATGTTTTCCCATATCATTTACAATTTATCAGTGTTAGGCAATAAATCTGTTGTTGAATTAGATGAAAATACAACTGAACCGCCATAAGGTTAGAAATTGTTGATTAGAATATTATCACAAGACTATTAAGCAAATTATATATTGAAATTTCCTATTTATTTATTTGTGTGTGGTCCCCTCACATTATTACATCTTATTATTTAATTACCTGCTCTTAAAGTACCGCATGTAAATTTATTATTATCTTATGTACACCTTATACTTTATATAGTCTTTATAATCTTAATGATATTTACTTCTCTACAAGTAGTGGTTCCAATTATTAAAGGTTAAATTGAAGGTGAACCATTCCAAAATGTTGGAAAAATTAAATCCACATTTCCAGAACTAAGTATTGCAAACTCAAATTATAAAGATCCATCTGTTTTATATGCAAAACTATTTAAGGCTGTCCCTTTTATTGTTGAACAATCCAATGCTACAATCTTTATATCTTATATACTTGCATAGGCAGAATTCAAAATTTGAATTATGAATATTGAAATATACATATAAATATTAAAATTTTATTAAAAACATCATTTTCAATCTAACTAAAACTGAATAGCTTATGATTTTTATTGTAATTCCTAATCAATTTTATATTTTATTCATAACATAATATTTAAAATAAAAAGACAAAATATATATATATATTCTATTGAATTAGCTTAACAATTCATAAGTACTTATTATAAAACTCATTAATATGATTATATCATATGTATTTTGAAGGTTTATAATATTTATGGATTAATAATATTGCATATCTATATTCTAGATTTTCTAGATAATGAGTCATCACTTATAATTTTAATTGATATGTAAATTTTTGATTTGGAAAGGGAATGAATAGATGAGATGAAATATTTTATGAATATATTAATCATTTGTTATTTCAAGGTTGGGTAATAACTGAGATTGATCTTTATGAAAGATGTTTTTAAAGAGTTGAATTCACCTTAATTGGACTGTCAGTTGATCTGAATTCGAGATAAAGTGCTTCTGTCTCAAATGTAACCCTTTTTAATCTTTTGGCAGATCCTTAATTAAGTGGAGACAAAAGTGTATGATGATGCAAATCTCCAATTACACTTATGATTTAATGAAACGTTGTTTTCTTGGACATCTTTTTAATTAATTTAAAAAAAGAATGAAAGAAAATCAGTTTGTAATTTGTCTAATATCATAATTGGATCAATTAAATAACAATAAATTATTGATACATTGCATGTCATTTCATATATATATATATTATTTAAATTAATTTTTAGATGGGAAATAAATCAACACGTGAAATTAGAGAAAAGATTGAACAATTCAAAGAAGATTCTGAAAAAAAAGATATAGAATGGACTATCCATAATTAAGATGAAGTTTATGAACAAATGTTAATATTATCAAGATACTTCTCATTATAAAAACTTCAATTAAATTTTATTGATCCCAACATAGGTGATATCACACCACTCAAAGATGCAATATAAGGAAGTGAAATCTTTGAAGTACTCAAAATATAAGCATAGTATTAATATAATTATATTTTAGAAATACAAAAATAAATGATGCAAATATTATACCATCACATATTACAACATTAAATAGATTTCATTTAGATTTATCTAATACTTAAATTACTGATGTTTCAAATGTAATACAAGTTTTAAATTAAAATATTCAATTAGAATCAATATATATGAATTTCAATAATACTCATATAACATCCATTAAATTATTCGATGTTCATTTATTTACTTAACTAAAATCTTTAACTCTATTTACAGGGTAATATATTAATATATAATATTTAGACATACATAAATAAATAATATAGAGCAATTTACACTTAATGTTTCAAAACTTATGAATTTAGAAGAATTACATTTGAATTTTTCAGGAACTTAAATTACTGATTTGGCATCACTTGGATCTTGCATTAGAAAATTAAATAAATTACTTTAATTGACTATCAAATTAGATAATTTATAATTAGATAACATTTTTGATTTAATGTAAGGAATAAGTTTTTGTATTAATTTATGTCATTTAACTTTAACTTTTAATAATACAAATCTAAATAATATAGATTAATTAGGAGATCTATTAAAATAATTATAAAATCTTGAATATCTTAATATACAATTTAGTAAAACTAGAGTGACATAAGCAGATAATTTATTCTAGAAAATTGGATACTTGACAGCCTTAAAATCATTATCACTTAATTTTAAAGATACTAATATTAGTAGTCTTTCATTACATAGAATTTTGGATACTATATAAAAGATTGAACATTTAAGAATATCTGCTAATAAAAATTTTGATTAAAGTGTACTTGATGCTATACCTTAATAATAATAAATGAAAAGTTTAATTTTGGATTTGAATGATACAAATATCAATTCAGTCAATAAATTAATGGATTAAATAGGAGATTTAAAACTTATGCGATTTTTATAAATACTTATTTCGAATACATAAGTAGAAGAATTGAATTGCAGTAATTTGAGTAAATTATAAAATTTAAGAACCTTATAAATTGATATTTCGTATTTTAAATATATTATAAATTTTTAGTTAAACTCCTATGTAGAAGATTATTGGTTTAGAAGAAGAGTTAGGAAAGATTAAATTTTTAAATTAATTTATATTTGATGCAATTGATACAAAATTCCACAATAATGAATATTAGGATAAGATTAAATAAGAATTGAAAAAATTATAATATTTGAAAGAGTTTCATTTATGATGAAATATATATAAAAATTATTATCAAGAATATTAATATAATGATTCATTTTAGATTCAGTTTTATTTAATTTAAAAATATCTGTGTATTTTAAGTTGAATCCAAAAACATTGATCAAATATTAATTTTTATCATGAATCCATTTTAATAGATTCCCACTTTACCATAACTTTAATATTGTCCCTAATTACAATAATTGTAATAACTTCAACAGCTACAAGTAAATTCTTATGTTGTTAACCTTTAGTATTTACATTTACTTTGTGCACTCTAAAGCAATATTACCAATCAACCAAATCTACAAATACCATCACTCAATCCTCTTCAACAAATATCTCTTCTTTCTTAATCATCTCAAAGAACAATACCGATAGTATAATAACCTGATATTCGAACGAAGAAAAGTTAATCAGAAAGAGTTTTACCAAAACAAAAGAAAGAAAATGAAATTCTGAAACAATATACATAAGATGAAATCTTATAGGAACTCAAATAATTATTAGAATATCTTTGTAAAGAGGAAATTAAGGAATTGGAGCATGATGAGAAAATTAAATATAAAGTATATAAAAATTTTGATAAAATTATTTTAGATCTTAACTAGAATAGATGATGGATTGATAGAATCACTGATCAATCGATATCAAAATCAGAAAAAAACAAAAGAAGAATAAATCAAATTTATTCTTAGAAAATGCTTTAAATATTTGAAATAAAAGATGAACTTAAATGAATTGACAATGAGTGCTTATGAAATTGAAAAAGTATTCTATAAAGAATATTTTTCTTCTAATGACAATATTGAAGAATTAATTCCCTTTAGATCTGAGTCTTCAAATAAAACAATGAATACATCATATTTAAAGAAAATTTTTTCATCTGAAAAATTTTATGAGGGATATCTCTCTTATCTTGGTAACATTTATTATTTAATCTTATAGAACATTTTGATGAAATATGGGATCAAGAAAATAATGAAAAAATTTAAAATATGGCTAAATAAGTCTTAAAGTTTATTGCTTCTGGATAAATCGATGTATATATATTTATTTATATTCAAAATATAGAAAATATCCACATACAAAAGAGTACCTTGGATTTCGTCAATGAAATAACGTTGTTATGAATTGGCTGTTTCGTTTAAAGCATACCATGAATAAGAAGAAATCTGTAAAAAAGTAAAATAAGAATGACAATATTGATATAATTCAAAAATACAAAATAACAACGCTTAAAAAACATTCTATTATAATATAATTATTTAAAAAATAGTTATTCCTTTTTTATTAATCTAAACTAAACAATCATAAATAAAGATTAACTTATTATATTTATTTTTTAATTCCATAAAATCAAACTATACAATTAGATTTAGGCTATTCCTTTCTAATCTTTCATTTTTAACAATGCAAATTGTATTTTCACACTTTATATATAATTAATCTTCCTGAAATGTATAAATGGATAGTATTTTAGGAATGTTTCTTAATCATTTGATATAGCATAACAATTAAATCTAATGATAATGGCTTTAATTCTTCACTTTATACAGTTTCAATAAAATTTTTAAATAAAACATTTTATTGGAGGGTATTTTATAACCAATAGGAAAACGTTCTAAAAAATAAAGTTTGATTTTATTATTATAGTTTGTTCATTAAATTCATTAGTTCAAAATTCATTAAAAAATTTATTTTTGCATAAACTTTAAATTAATTTTCCTTATTCATCAATATCGCCTTGAATTTTACTTATAATTTACCTTATTATTTTGGTTATTATTCATAATTATTCTGAAGTTTCAAGCCACTATTCACATTCTCTCTATAAATTTGTTTATTTATATCTATGGATTTACTTAATTAATCTATTTAAAAAGATATATATATATTTACTGTTCTTGAAATTTTAGCATCATGATCATACTACTTCCTTATTTAATTTTAAAATAAACACATAAATACTTAAACTAATATTTTCAAATACTTCACTTTTACTATTACAAAAATCACCTTATCCTTTTATCGATTATCTTTATTTTTTAATTTCATAAATTTTAATATTTCATCTATATTTTTGCCTCCTAAAGTGCTAAAAATTGTTATTAAAAGTATAATAGATAAAATATATTTTGATCATGAGGTTTAAAGGTATATAAAAACACTTTAAATAAACTATTTAATATGAAGCAGTTCATTTTTGATAATAATAAATATTAACTTATTATCAGAATATTAAATATATGACATATTTCGATATTTTGTAATGTGAACTTACTTTTAGACTTATAAAAATTATTAAGATATATATAAAAATATGGTAGTTTATTTAGCATTTATAATCATTTTTTATTAATAGAAATATTTAAGCAGATTATTCAAAACCTATGAGAAATATAAGTAATTTATTAGTATAAATAATAAATTCCATTTCTTGAAGATAGTATTATAATTGGAAGAATTCTGCTTATAAAATTACATTAGACAATCTAGAAATATAAGTCTATATATTCATTATATATATATATATCTTAAAATATTTGATTTAATGAAATGATAACAATGAGAAATCAAGAAATATAAATTCTAAAGTTTTATTTGATAACATAAATTAATAGAATCATTAAATTAAGGGTACTTAATTGATTGTATTACATTTAGTGCATTTAATTTAGTTGTATTTGCCTTCAAAAACAATATTACTTCTAAACATAATAAAATTGATTGTATTACTGACATGAGTAGCATTTCATAATTTTTTTGCCTTTAAACCAGGGTTAAGTACCAATCTAAATAGTTCCATTGGGATTCATTAAAATAATGGTATTAAGGGGAATGTCCATAAAAAAGAAATTAAAAAAATAATAATGGATTATCACATTTAGAAATGACTTTTATATTTAATTAAATCTTTTATTAAAATTTCAATGGCAAGAGGTACTCCAGCAATCGGTAAGAGACATTAAAAAACTCATACATTTTGTAAAAGATGTGGCAGATAGACATTCCATATTTAAAAAAATAGATGTGCATCATGCGGATATCCAGCTGCAAGATTAAGACTTTGTAAATTCATTAATTGAATAATAGACAGTGGATGGGGTGAGAAGGTCGCCAGAAGAAGATCAACAGGAACAGGAAGAATGAGATATTTGAAATCTATTGCTAGAAGAGCAAAGAATGGTTTCAGAGCAGGAACATAAGCTTAACCAAAAGTTAAAAATACATAAAAAAAGTGATTTAAATCAAATGCTTAATAAATAGTACATTAATATTTTATCATTAATAAGAATTTTCATCTCTATTCTTTTATTCAAACCTTAAATATATTTAATTTAAAAAAAATTGAATATATATATATATTAAAATCAAAAGACTCGTTAAATTTAATAAATCAATAATATTAAAGGACTGATTCTCCTTAAAAATAAGATGGAAATGATTTAATTGGATTATATGAAAATGAAAAAAAATAATATAAAAAAGTAATTAAAACGAATACTATTTATGAACTGAGCATAATTGATAGAAAAATACTTATTTTTGTATCAATTTTCATATATTTTTAATCATTCCTTCAATTATTCGCTATTTTGATGTCTTTTTTACATTAATTCTTATTCTATTTACCAAGCTTTTTTACGCTTTGGTTTAATTTCAGGCAAAGGTTCCTTATTTTCAGTTGTAAGATATTCATTGTGTTATTCATTATTTTTCTTATTGTTTACTTTTGGGAGATGTAATAAACTTACTTATTTACTATAATCTTATTATTTGATTTTATTCTCTTTTATTAATTTTTTCTATTCTTCTTTTAATAAAAATTAATTTTCATTCATTTTTCTATTTGTTTCAATATTTTATTCAATATATATTTATCCATTTTCTAATTCTGTAACTAGAGAAGGTTGTGATCCTAATGCCAACTTTTTAACACTATAATGACTACTGACTGCAGCCTTTTCTTTTAATTCTCTAACAAATTTTTCATTTTTTTATTGTTCTAACATCATTTCATATCTTTTTTATTCTTATTTTGTAATTTATTCTAATGCTTATTTTCTTTTTTATTTTTATTATTCTTATCTATATATTTGACTACCTTATCTTAAACTTTCAATTTCACTTGACATTTTATTAGTTATCTTTTCCAATTATTCTTATCTTTTTTATTCTGCTGCCATTCTATTCTATTACATTTTTTTAATAAAATCTAAAGCTTTCAATTAAGAATCCTTATCTTTGTCAATTAACATTCTCTCTCTAAGACCATTTCTAATCTTCAATTTTTTACGTTTTCTTATTATGACTTCTAATTTGTTTTTGTTTTAAGTTTAAGCTCTTTATTTATTTTGAATTTTAGATTTTTTTTCTTTTTATGGTTATGAAAATGCTATTTATTATTATTAATTTTATTAATCTTCAAGTCTTTAGCAATCTTTTTTCATCTACTCTAATTCTTATTATTTTTTTATCCTTTTTAATGTATTAGGTGTCATTTAATTTTGATCTCTATGTTATTATGGATTAATTTTATTGTAAAAATCAAATAATTCCTTATTAATAACACTTTTTGTTCTTGGTTTTTTTTCTCTTTAATATCTTTTAGCACTTTTACAAACTTTTTATTCTAATTAAAATTTTTCACTTTCAATTTAAAAACTAAAATCTAATTGTTTACCACTTTTATTTTAAGATCTTTTTACAGGAAAAATTAAGCTTTTTAAGAATTTCTCAACTAATTATTATTATCTTTATATTTTCTCTTATTATTCTTATTATTCTTATTATTCTTATTCCTATTTTCTCTATAATTCTTCTTATTACTTTTATTCTTCAATTTATTATTAATTTTATTCTTTTTCTTCTTTTTCCTTATCTTCTTAATTATTTTATACCTTCTCCTAATTTATATTTGATTAAGATAAATTATTTTATTCTTAATTCTCTTAGATTTCTACTTTTGTAGTTCTTCTTTTTGTGGTCTTCTTTTTTTAATTTTTTCTTTAACTCTAATTTTCTTAATCATTTTACTCTACTTTCTTTTCTTATTGTTTTTATTCTTTACTCTATTACTATTCTTATTAAATCACTTGGTTATTTTGTTGATTATTATTATCCTATTAGAGTTTAGTATTATTAGAAAATTAAGTATCCTAATTTTGATCATTTTTTGAGTTTTATTAACTTAAATCAATTTTATTTATATTTTCCTACTCATTTTCTGCTTGTTCTTATTTTACTATTTGTTCTTTTTCATTTAAGTTATCTTTGACATCATTCTGTTAATCATTATCTTATATAGTTTTCTCTTTATTCACTTCTTACTATTCATGATTTGGAAATTAAGAAGTAATATTAAATTATTCATTTTATTTGTCAGTTTCATTTTATTGTTCTTAGTTTGTTTTAACCTCCATATTATTTTCATCTTATTATTGTTCTTATGTTTGTTTTTGAATAAAGCTTTGATTTTATTCAATATCTTCATTTTGTTAAGGATCATTTTCATTTTATTACATAATTAATAAATAATATTAGAAACCAATAATAATATTTGTATAATCTAAAGTATACTTTTGGGATGTATAATATTTAATCTCAAAAATTTTTCATATATTGATTTCAATCTAATCAGTCTTTTGTGAATGTTTTGAATCAAATTAAATGATAGAACCTTCATTTACATTATTCATTAATTAATTTTCAATCATTTATTAAAAATCTTTAACATTAAACAAAGATCTAATTGGTTTATGTTCAGTTAATTGAATTGTTGATACATTACCTCTATAAAATTAATTAATAAATTAAATTACCTTTAAGTATTAGGACAAGTTCTTCTATGACCAGAATTGAATTAAGAATCCATTTATCTTGCACTACTTTTGGAACTAGGTAATGGTAATGGTTCTTTTGCATGATAACTATCTCCTTCTTCTACATCTGCTTCTTCTTAATCCCAATCAATTACTTTTTTAATTAAATTAGGTTTTGGAGGAGCAATCTAAACATTTATATTAGTTTATTATAAATAATTTCTAGAAATAATGTTAGTTTGTAGATTAGTTTGATTTGATGTACCTTCTTATAACTTTTCTTAAGAAGATTTCTATTCTTTTTTCCTTTTACTTAATACATAATCATAAGTTGTCATATTCTTGCATTTAAAGTAGATATGCATGACCAGTAAAAATGTAACAGGAATTATTAAAATAATAGTGAGTCCCATGTATATATAGCTTAGTATCTTATTAATAAATATTGAAATAATCAGTACAGTAATTAAATAAATTTCTAAAAGTACTATTAATATAAAAAAATATTTATAATTTCTTAACCCTATGCAATTATTTAACCATACACAATGATGATCAAAGAGTTCCGTACACCTATTGCATTATTTACAATGTTTAGATGGTGCTTTTACATATGCTTAACATACTTTACAAAAACAATTCAATTTTGTTTCATATTTTAATCTATCAAATTAATTATCTTTAATTACTTCTTTTCTTTTAGTTTCTACTAAATGTATATTTCCCTATCTGTAGGATCTATTTTTGTTGTAATAAACCAAAATAACGAGATAATAAATGAGAAAATCGTAACCAAAATCCAAAGTTGATTCTTATAAAACTTTGAATTTATATTTTTACATAATCTAAGGTTTGAAATAAGATTATTATGTAATGTCCTATGTATAGAATTGCAACTCCAATTTGATAATAATTTATTCCTGTTTTACACTGAAATCCATGTCTATTCACTATATTTTAATTACTTTAATTCATAATTAATAATGTATATCATAATCCAACAAAATAATTATTGGCTCACTCAACTGGGCTTTATCTAACAGTTTCAATGATTTTTAGAAGGTGACTGGCCAATATGATGAACTTGCTTTTTATTGAGGCAACAAATCACAATATTTATATGCTTTTGCAATTAACTCACTACAAAAATATCCTTTATTGATAAGTCCATCACTTTACTATTGTAGTAACTTCATAATGTTAATTTCATAATCTTAATCTTTAACTTTCTTGTAATTTTTAATTATACATCAATAAATTCCAGCAATTTCGAATTTACTTTTTCCCTATCAACATTTAGTAATTTTCTAACAGCAACTTTTCTATATAGATTATTCTATTTCAAAAAATATTTCCAGAACTCTAAATCAACACCCTAAATATTAAATATTCAATTTACTGATTAATTTTTTACATCAAAAACCAATATATCATTTTAATATTACTCTCTTACAATCATTCCTACATGATCAAACTTAGATCCTGTAATCCCTCTTTATAATTTAGCCATATAATGATCTGTCCTTTCATTTTATTATATAATATTTACTCGAATAATAAAATATCTCCTGTTTCTGCCCAATTTAAGAATTCCTCTTCTCTAACAAAATCCAATCCAAAATACAATTCCTTCACCTACAATTTCTCTATCTCATTGAAAAACTTCTCCTCAATCATTCTAATACTCTAAAACCATAGCTTTCCCTCTATATCATCATTACATTTAAATATTATAATTTTCTTATATAGCTTAAATTCCAACTTAAACAATTTGTATTGATTCTTTGTACACTTGTGGTGATACAATAGGATATCATACCTATATCAAATTAAAGGCCAAGTATCTAAGATTGTAAACTTAACCCCATTGCTTATCCTCAAGAATCACTAATTTCTCTCTCGTCAATAGTATATTGGTTTTAGTGAAACTCCCACTATTAATCTTTAATTAGACCATTCCTTATTTGATCACAGTATTTCCCAAATCATAATTTTAATATTTTTATAATGGAGTTTAGCATAATCTTGTATGTAAAGCAAAACTCTATTGGAATATAGTTTAAAATTATTAAAATTGATTTTCATAGTAATGAGGACCTTTTTGTTCAAAAAATTCAATGGGGATGCAATTATTTAATGCCTTGATTTCTGAAAATGATTAGCTTCTTTACATGTTAATAAAATTAATTAAATTAACAAGATGTATATATTAGATAATGTAATTATTGAATTATAATTAAAAGAAGTCTTAGAGATAATAATAATTGAATAGATTTTTATTATGAATCATATATGTTATGAAAAATAGTTATAGATCAATTAAATAATTTATATAATCTAACAATATTATTAAATTTGAATTTTAAAAATAAAGTAACTAATATGAGATTGAATGATTTGACTGAATCTAGGAAGATGCTTAAACAATTTAAGGATAAAGATGTTCGACCTCCAAGATCATACAGTGATTTCTCAAAATCCCCAAGATAATTATAATTAGATACAACTTAATTGTATTCATGGGGTAAGATTGTTATCGAATTTAGGTTTAAACACTTGTGGATAATTGTTAAAGAATAACAAAAACATTACTCCACATTATTAAGGAGTAACATTGTGTTCAGCAGGTGAAAATCACACCATCATAGTGAATAATAAAAATGAAGTTATAGGATTTGGTGATAACTAATTTGGACAATTAGGATATGAATCAAATACTTAACCTAAATTGACACCAATCTTTAAAGATTAAAGAATAACTAGTATTGTTTGTGGAGCTGAACACACATTTATGTTGACCGCAAAAGGTGAAGTGTATTCTTGGGGTTTAAATTTAAAAGGACAATTAGGTTTGGGTTGTTTTGATAATATTAATTAACCCACTCTTGTATATGGATTATTACCATTTGGTAATAGCAATGGAAAGGCAAGAGAACAATAATAGGGTCATAAAAGAATGAAAAGTGCTAATGAAGGTGATTAATCTACATCTCCAGGATTAAAAGAGAGATCTTCTTCAATAGACAATGTTATGGAATAATTGGTAATGATGAAGGAAAAGATTAAATAAAAGAATCCTAATGATAATTAATGTTAGATTCTTTTATAAAATGATGAAGCAGTTCAATAGGTAGCATGTGGTGCATTACATACTTTAATATTGACTAACAAAAATAGAATCTTTTCTTGTGGTTTTGGTGAATCATATGCATTAGGACATCAAGAGAATTAGACAATAAGTGAATTTAAATTAATTTAAAATTTATCTCATTTTAAAGTAGAAAAAATTAGTTGTGGATTAGCACATTCAGGTTGTATAATTGAAGGTGGTAAACCTTATTTATGGGGTTATTGTAAATCAAATAAAGATTTTTATAAACAACCTACTCAAATTAAAATGGTAGATGAATTCAATAATTAATAATGTGTATTAGATATGAAGATGGGTGAAATGTTTACATTATTTTTAACAAGTAAAGGAGAAGTTTATTCTATGGGAGATAATATTCAAGGATAATTAGGCAATGATTTGAGTGGTTCAGATGTTCCTATTAAGATTTCAGGTTTACCTTTGATATCATAAATATCTGCAGGAAGAAATCACAGTCTAGCTTTGTCTGCAGATTATAAGTATGTATATGGATGGGGTTCCAATATCTATGGGTAATTAACAGGATAACCAAGTGTAAATGGGAAAGGAATCATTTCACCTAAATTATTATTTACAGTACCTGAAACTTAAAGAATTGTGTGTGGTAATTTTCATTCAATTTTATTATCACCCTCTTATCTTGAGATTATTTTAGATGAAAATGACAATAATAATAAGGAATAAGATAAATTAAATGAAGAAGTTGAAAAATATAGAAATGAATAAGAAATTCTGAAATAATAAAATATTTAATTACAATAAAAGTATGATAGAATGAAAAATGAATTAATATCTAAAAAGAAAGTTAAAGATTAGAAGGTATAAACTACAGAATCATATATTCAAAGATAAATAAAGAAATAATAATCTAAATTTGACATATCTGCATTAGAAATCTCACCAGAGAGACCAATCAAACATAGAATATTTTAATCTAGTTTGGATATAGATTTCAATGATATAATGTTAGAAAAATAAATTAGTGAAGGAGGTTATGGAGTTATTTATAGAGCAAAATGGAGAGAAACTATAGTAGCTGTTAAAATGTTTAAGATAGATGGAATGAATGAAAATCATATAAGAGATTTTCTATCTGAATGTCATGCTATGGAAGCTTTAAGACATCCAAATATTGTTATGTTTCTTGGTGCTTGTACTAAACCACCAAATCTAGCTATTGTATTAGAATATTGTTAAAGAGGATCTTTGTGGTAAGTAATATAAAATCATGATATTCATTTGACTTGGGAAGATCGTAGAAAAATGGCTTTAGATGCTGCAAAAGGAGTGTTATATTTACATTCATTCAATCCTCCTATTCTCCATAGAGATTTGAAAAGCTTAAATCTCTTGTTGGATGAAGCATTCAGAACAAAATTAGCAGATTTTGGTTGGACAAGAACATTATCTAATTATATGACTAGCAAGATTGGAACATATCAATGGATGGCACCAGAAGTAATTGCAGGATAAGTTTATACTGAAAAAGCTGATGTATTCAGTTTCGGAATCATTTTATGGGAAATTGCAGCTAGAGAACCTCCTTATAGAAGTATTTAAATAATTTAATTAATAAGATATAACTGGATTATAAGTTTCTTTAGATGTATTGAATAACGATTTTAGACCTACAATTCCAAAAAAGACTCCAGAAGTCTTTACACGATTAACTAAAAGATGTTGGGATAGAGATCCAGAGAAGAGACCTTCTTTTAAGGAAATTATAAAGGAATTAGAAATGATGAAATTCCCATAAGGAGTGTGATAATTAATATATTATATGATTTATTTCTATAAATTAATCTAAATCTAAACAACATCTCTTTTATTATTATTAATTTTATATTTTCAATTTAATGGCAACAGGTTTGAATTTATGCTATAAAAAGGTGGTCAAATTTTGAGATATAATGGTGGCACATGTTATGCTATGTGTTAAGATGTCTTCTCATGGTATAACCCATCAATTCAAATTTGTTGGAAAGGATGTGATTATGCTACTGGTAGAGTGAATGATCCAGTTTTGAGATAGGAAGCAGAAGACATGTGCAAAAGATATACAGCAGAAGCTATGTGGACCAAAAAAGGAGAATTGGGTATCTAAAAAATACAATTATTTTAAGACAACATTGAAGATTTAAGAATACATGCTGATATGTTCCCAGAAAATCCTAGAAATATTTATAGAGCATGCTTAGCAGGTGTTCGTAGATAAAAATATTGAAATATTAAAATATATAAATAAAAATATATAAAAACAATATTACTTATATGTTCATATCAAATACACCCAGAAATACTTAATTTTTAAACCTTTACTAAATTTCATTTTGAATTGATGCAAATCAATAATTATTTGAAGACCTTTATAAATCATTCAATATTCAATTACTATAATAGTATCATTGTTATGTCTAGAATATTGAGAGTGGATTCCATTGATACAATAAAGTAATTTAAATTAGTCTATTTGATTAAAATAATTTTATTAAATATATTTTCTAAAGAAAAAAACTATAAAATGTGATCAAATGTTAAAAAAATGATATTGATTAAATAGAAAATTAAGTAAATAGAGAGTTTAAGTATAAAATCCAAAAAAACATACTAAATTGAGATTCTCACTTTAATTAGTCAAAAAAAAAATGAAAAAAAACCAATTTAATGTTTAATTTATATATAATATATCAATAATAGCTTTCATTTTTATTTTGGTTTAATGACCATTATTAAATATATGAGATAGAATAATTTGAAATACCATAATAAAATTTCTTAATTAAAACATAAAAAGATTTCAATTAATTCTTATTAAGATGATCTTGAAGAGATTATCAAAAGAAACAACTTAATTGATTAAATAAAGCAACAGATTTAAATTATAAAGATTCTACAAACCTTTATGAAATAAAATAAATTGTATCAATAACAAAATTTGCTAACAATCCCCATAATAGATTAAATTTTAAGTTTGTTCAAAAGAGTAAATCAAATTCATAAGAAAAACTAAATAGTCTAAACAATTTATTCGTCATTTTAAAACAAAATCACCTTTTGAATCTCTAACAAAATCAATTTCCAGCAATAATAAGAAAAGAAAATAAAAATAGGTACTAATTGATAGTACCCTTTCTTAATTTTTTCAGTATCTTATCTAAAATAGAAGATTATTAGATCCTAACCTTTGTTACATCTATATTATCTAAATCCAATTAATAACTCTTTTCTGTCCTCCAATATCTATTTTAAAAGCTTAGTTCAAGGTGAAAGCTAGTTTCTTGAAAAAACTGCCTATTTTAGGTGGATAGTTACCTTTACATTAAAAATAAAATTAAGAATCTCTATTATGATATAGAAAAAATAATAATTGTAATTCTTATTATAATTTATGCAATAAAGTAAATATATTTACAAAAAATTAATAAATATTTTGATATATTCTTAATAGAAATATTCATTTTAGAGATTATTTGTATTTTAACTCTTCTTTGAGCTGATTTATCTTAATTTATTATTCGTATTTTTCTCTTTTCATTTTTTCTATCTCTACTTAAAGTTCAAACTTTTCTTTATACAATTTTTCAATTGTTTCATTATATTTATCTAATTATTGCTAAAATAGTTTCATTATATTTTAATCATTTTATGATTTCTTCAAAGCTTCTTTTCTTGAATTAAATAATTCTTCAATCATTTTTAACTTATATTTTGCAATCGAGTTTACATAATCCAACTAATTATAGCCAGAAATAAGATGAGAAAACTATTCAAAATATTGAAATATTTTTATGAAATTTTACTACCATCTATTATTTGAATTTTAATTGAAAGATTATTTGCCATTTTTTCACAAATTGCAATGAAATTTAAATACCATTTGTAAGGTGTTTTTTTATTTCCATTTTTTACAAAATCTAATAATTCTTACATATTTTTTATAATATCTTCAGTATCTTTTTCAGATAAATTCTTATATTTTTAGTCAAAATTTTCATTTAAGAGGACTAAATATTCATTCACAATTGTTAATAATTAATTTTAAATTTCTAAACTAATCTTCTCACTTTGATTTAGTTATTATGGTTCTATTTTATTTTCTTTTACTTATTCAATCTAACTCCATAGATTTTTTCGACTATTATCATTAAAAATTTCTTTTAGTGATTACTTTTTAGCATTTCTTAAAACTAGAATTTTATCAATGGATGTTTTTATTCTTGCTTAAGTTAACTGTTCTTATATACATTCAATCAATTCTTCATCTGACAAATCATCCACATAACTATTTAATAGTAAACTAAATTTTGGATTGTTAAGCTACTTCATGAATTATTACAGATCCATCCCTCTGTTTGGAATGTAATTCTCAGGATTTTTTTAAATGTGAATAAGTTTAATTGGTCCTGAAGTAACGATCTTGTTAAATAAAAGATCAAATAATAATTGATCAAAATTTCCATTTGTATCTTAGAATCCTGGAAAATCAATAATTAAATGATTGTTTTATTTATTAAAAAAATAATTTGGTGTTTTTGTAATAGATATCATTCCTTCATTAATTTTAGAATAATTATCTGAATTATTTATTATTTCCATTTATTTTCCATTAAACTAAAAATTTGCACCACTTAAGAAGTTAAAAATAGTACTTTTTCCAGATCCTGTAAAACCAACAAGGAAAACAGTAGAAATTTTAGTTTATTAATAATGCTTAGAGTATTAATCTAAAATTTCCTAACATTTTTCTATAAATTTCAAAAGAATAGCTTAATCCATTGATTATTTTATCTATTATATTTAATTTTCTACGAATGGTTTTAATATAAGATTTAATTCTATGAAATAATAATTTAATAGAATTAAAAAATTAAATAATAATGATTATTTCACTTAACTTAGTGAACCTATCTCCTAGTGCTTTCTGTATCAAGTAAAATACCTTTAAATTTATATCTACAGAGAAAAGTTGAAATTAAAATAGTAAATAATAAAGACTCATAGAGGTTTAATGTATTTTTTTTAAATAAAATCACTTCACTCAAATTATATCGTATTTAAATAACAAAATAATTTACTTAGTAATCAGCTTGAAATAATTTATCAACTTTAGTAAATAATACTCATCAAATTCACATTTTTTGATTAATCCATTATTTTTATAGATTTAAATCTAATTATTTAGATTAATGTAGTTTGAACAATATTATTATTAACCTATGATTTAATTATTTTTTGGATACCCACTTTTTAAATTAATAATTGGGTAAACTTAGCTTTATAGTGATAATCTATAAAATTGAATATTTAAATAAAAAATTAGAATCAAAATATGTCTAATAATATGTTAATAAAATATAAAATTATACACTTAATTGTTACATGATAATATTATTGCTATAGAGTAATAAAAAATAAGTTAAAAGAATTTCTAAATTCTTTAAGATGAATACTTTTCAATTAAAATAAATTATTTCTAAAGAGAACATATTCATTTAATTTTGTAAACTAAATATCCTAAATATATCAATTTAGATAGCTTTAAGAATATGAAATTTCATAAAATTAATGAAGTTATTAGATCTGATAAAAGTTCTATAATATAAGAGTTTGCTTTATTTAATATATGATTAATTGTATATTTATTTAAATAGTTTTCTCTTATTCACACTCATTCTTTGAGAGATTTGATAATTTATTCTTGCTCAGAAATCAATCTATTTTCAAATTATTATGTTTTTTCTACCATATATTCTTACATTCTTTTTAAGGCTGCAAATTTAGTCATCTAATTGTAAAAGAAGTATTTGTTACTTATGAGTAAAATAAACCTGCATTAATAATAAATCCAACATATATTCCTCTTCTTAACTATTAAATATATATTAATTGATTACTAGTTAGTGTTTGTCACTAAATTTAATGATAATCTATTCTAATTTCTAGAATCGTTGTTACATTATCTATATATTAATTTATTGATATTAATATTATGAATAATTCGATTTCTTCTTAGTAAATTGACCCTAAGAATAAACATATCATATAGGATTAATCAAATGTTTTCTAAATTGAAAAGAGATCAACTTCAAAGATGTTTTGGAATAAAAGAGTCATTTAATTATAAAATGGTATGCTTAGTTATTTCAAAGTACCAAAATGTATGTTAAAATTTATGATAAAATAGAGATGAATGATTTATATAAAATGTAACCCAAGATATCAGTTATAATAGAGAATATATTATCTATTGGTCCTCCAGAAAAAGCTAAAAAGTAAAATTCAATTGAAATTACTTTTATGGCAAAAGATGCAATCTTTCCTTCAAAAATGAAAAATAGAAGCACAAATATGAGTGTTAATAGTAGTTATGGAAGAGACTTGATGGCTGCTTAATAACCAATAGTAATTACAAAGAAGAAAGAAATAATTATATGGGAGATTGCATTTCCTAAACCAGAAATTGTAAAAGAATTTACTCAAATAATTGATAAAATTAAGCATCCTGAAAAATATCAATAATAAGAATAATAAGTTTAATAATAATAACCATAATAATTATAATAACAATAACCATAATAATCATCTTAAATATAATCTGAAATTGAAAAGTAGAAAAGCATTATATAAGATACTAATGAAAAGGAGAATTAATAAAAAGAAGTCTAATAATAGATTTAATCTTAAATTGATAAATAAGAATCTGAATAATAATTAAAATAGGAAGAAATATAAATATAATCACAAAAAGAGAAGGAAATTAATTAGTCAGAAATGGAGAGTAGAATAGAGAGGGAATAACAATTAGAAGAAGAAAATAAATAATAATAATAAAAGAAAGTGGAGGAATAAAAAAAATAAGAATTATAAGTATAGAATAAGGAAGAATCTAAAAAAAATATTGTGAAGAATAGAATAAAAACAGCATGGAATTATAATTATTTATAAGCTATAGAATTAGCAAATGTGAAGGATCCAAAAAGTATTGAAGAATGTATCACAAATAGTTTTGCATTACATGAATCCATAGGAAGAATGAGAGATCATGCTATGGATATTTGTTAAATTATTATTGATGAATTATGTTTGCCAAATTAAATGAAAACAATAAAACCTACAGATTGTTTAAATGAGGATAAATATATAATGTATAGTTAATAAGATAATACTATTGATTTTGGAGATGATTTCTATTGTTAAGATGGATTATTCATAAAATTATCATTTTGTTAATTAAAATCTTAAGAAATACATACTTAAAAAGGTAAATAAGAAATATAAATTTATGAAGAGTCTTAACTTAAGGCTTTAGGAAATGGTAAATATTGATAATATTTAAGATAGAATTTCGTTATCTATCATTATTAGCTGAATAGATTGAACTTTTAATTTAAGAGGAATCTAATTATCCTTTAAGAGTTCCATTATCATGTATAATAGATTATAAAGGAATCAGAGCATTTGTTATGGCAATTCCTCCAATAGATGATTCTACTTTAATTCATGGTCCAACATTTGATGGTTAATTTGTAACAAATAATGCAATTCAATAATATATGAATTAAATTAGTATTAGATTAAATCTAAAATAACATAAATTCTTTGAAGATGATATGATTAGTAATATAATACCTATGAGTCTATTTTAAGAAGTTCATAAAATAAATAAAGAATATATTGAATTAAGATGGATTGAAAATGAATAAAATATTAATGAATTCCCACCTTAGAATTTATCCTTATATTATCTATTAAAATGTGGAGATTTGATGCCTGTTATACTTTAAGAAAATGTATAAAATACTTCCAGATTAAGACCAGAATTTGTTAGAAGTTGGAATAAACCATTAAATTCAGATGCATATTTGAAATAGATTAAATTATCTGAAACTGAAGTAGATTATAATGAATTAATGTAAGCATCTAATTTTCTATAAAATTAATAATTAAATGAACTTATTAAGAAATTTGAATCTCTTGAATAATTACCTATTGATTCTAATTAATTGAGTGAACAATTACATTAATCAGGTATTAATATTAAATATATTGGTAAAATTTGTTAGATGTGTTAATTATAACATATAAAAGATCTATGTATTTGTGATATGATTAGTAGAGTATGTAAGAAAGTTTTAAGAAATAATGTAGCTGATTTAATGAAGAATTTGAAATATTAGTTATCTTAAAAATTATAAAGTGATTAATCTAACATTTTAGAATTTTCAATGATTTAAGAATTAAATACAAAAGATGTTTAAGATATTAAAATTGTATTAGAATTATCATCTAAATTAATAAATGAAAGTTGTCTTGACTTTTTGAATCTACTTTTAGGTGTTGGAAAAGAATCAGATTTATTTTGGATTTAAATCATATAAAAATAAATATGGTATGATTATTAATATAATCTTGATGTTATAACTAGATTTTCTATCTAATATAAATGTATGTTACTCTATTGTCTACAATAACAATTAGATATATCTTTCACTATATCACCATCCTTAATCAATGGTATGTTTAAGGAATCATTTCCTTTAAAGGAAAAACCTTAATTTAATCTTTAATAAAAGTCTTATTTATTGAATACATCAAAAATAGCTAGAAAATCTAAAAGAAAGAATATTATGAATCAAGAATAATTATTTCAATCTATTAAATGGTCTTTAGAATTATGTCTATTAAGAAAGGAAGGAGATGATGAATTTGCTAATTTATTATGTGAGGAAAGTTGTGAAAATGCTAATAAAGCTCTTTGTTTTACAAAACCTGGTCATCCAAGTTAAATTAAACCTCTTTTGTAAATCATTCAAGTAAATATGAATAATCTAGATATTGCACTATAATATTTTGAATAAATTCTTTAAATTTTAGATTCCTATTTTGGACCATCTCATCCTTATTATTTTATTATATACTCTATTTTTGGACATTATTTAAAGGAATGTGGTTATTTCAATGATACATTAAATTTATATGAAAGTGCATTAAAATGTGCAATTCGTTTATTTTAGAATCATTAATGCATAGCTGATATCTATTCAGATATTGGTTAAATGTACTTTTTTAAAAAGGACTATAACAATGCATCAATCAATTACAATAAGGCAATATCAATCTATGAAAAATGCAATCAATATCAATCTTTTAAATATGCAAATATTCTATTATTATAAGGCTAATTACTTTACAATCAATAACTTTATGAATAGGCATGTTAGTAAATTGAAGCTGCAATAGATATTTTATATTAATTTGAATATTCATAAATTGATCTCTTAATTGAGGCAATTAAATTATTAATACAAATTTGTAATTCATAAAATAAACAAAACAAAATTAATTAATTAAATTTGTAACTTTAACTTTTTTAGATGAGACATTCTATTATGTAATGAAATAATAATAATATTAATTAATACTATAATAATGAAATGATATTTTATATATATAATTAATACTACAAAATTATGAAATTATTTATATTATAATTATAAAATTAATAAATTTCAAATAAAAATAATGAGATTTCACTTCGATCCAAATAATGTTAATCGAATCAAATAATAATAACAAGATAAGCAATAGAAATAACCTAAAATAGAATTGCCAGATTCAACAAATGTAGTCTAAAATATACAATCTATTTCAATAGAATTGACAAATGAAAATTCAAATATGGTAATTTTAATGTAAATTTAGGAAGTACATTAAGGAAATGATTAATAAAAATTACTACCAGAATTAAATTAACACATCTATGAACCAAAGGAATAATGGGAGAAATTACCTGATTATCCATTAATAATTTCAGAATTGAAAGTTCCTGATTGTAATCAAAATGAAATTTATCTTGCTTTATATGAATAATGTTTTAATGAAGAAATTGTCAAATTTAAAGAACATTATTCATAATATAAGGAACTAATTTTTTACTGCGATAAGATGCAAGGAATGATGAGTGCTTTTCTTAAAAAGGAGAGATAAATGAAGGAGAAATATTGTTAACCTAATTAAAAAGATTTACCATATCATATTAAGAAATTAGAATATTAATAATAAATTAAGGAGTATGAAAAATCTATTGAGAAATTCATTAAAGCTTAGACTAAAATACAATAGATTATATCAAATGATAACCTATAACATGTAAGTATATAAATGATCAATCATATAAGTTATGATTAATCATTAAATCATGATATTTTTAATTAAAGAATAAATGAATTTCTTGAAAAGAATTAAAATTTAAAAGAATAATTACAATAAAGAACAACATAACATGTATTGATTATTATATATAATTATTAGTTTGTAAAATTATTGAATGATAGTAAGAAGATGTAAGAAGAAAATTAAGAAATTTAAAGATAAATCTTGTAACTTGAATAAAATTTAGGAAAAAATACAGATTAATTTTAAGTTTTAAATTGTTTCATTTGAATTCTAATTATGTACTAGTAATATGCATTGGACTTTCATTTTAATTTATTTAATTAATTTCAATTGATGCTCTCAATCTACTAGATCCAGCAAAATTGATCACTTTTGTAGATGCATATTCTTCGTATGTTTCCATCTATGAAACCTTTAAAGAAGTGAGACAATTAAATAAAACTGAAAGGAATAACAAAGAGATGATAATTATCATTAAGATTGATATTTAATTAAGATAGTATGAGTACACTACACACATCCCATCAAGCATCATATTCAAATCTTCCTAAAATTATTTAATTAATAATGAATAATTACTTTCATGAATGTACAATTAGCAGCCTTAAGTAAACTATTTAAATTAGTTAGTGTCTTCAATTACAAATCAATAAAATTTGTATGATTTTTAATGTATTAATTAACTTTTAGATTTAAATCTAAATTTTAAGATACAAATTAAGATTCTAATAATTATGTTCTAATCCATCCTTAAGCTTAAGTTTGATAATGTAATTTTAATTTTTAAAATAAATCCTATTAATCTTAACATGATGCAGAATATTTTGTAATTAGATATGATGGATGCCAACACATCTATGAATCATTGAAACCTCCATTCATTTTTGGATAAGTACCATCTGTGCATAATGTAGATGATAATTCTGCACAATTTTCATTATTTTTGTATGAATTAAAATTATCAATAATTTTATTGAATTCTTATCTCTCATTTTAATTTAAATCCATAAATGTACCATCTAATATAGATGTAATAGTAATAGAATTATTATTCAATTTCTAAAGATATAGAGCTTAATTTGATATGAGTCGTTGTATTTCTTCTTATAGTCCATTTTCACTATTAATATAGGTTCTTATATCTTTGAGTCTTGAATTAAAATTTAATTAATTATAGATATTTCCATCTCCAAAAAGACAAGTATGAATAGCTTGTTTTGATTCTGAAAATTCAATAATCTTTTGATTTTAATAGAATTCTTCATTATTAGTAATTCCATCAAAATAGATACATAATTCTTTTGATAAATAGGAATTTGATTATAAGAAAATATTAATAATTAAAATTCCAATTAGTATAAGATTGCATAAAAACCAAAGGATATCAATATACTTTTTAATCTTTAGATGTTTATTTATCATATGACCTAACCATAAAATGATTTGAATGAAATTAAATATGATTAACACTATTAATAAGCCAATAATCGAATCAACATAATAATTAATATCATCGTTTAGAGTTTGATGGAAATCATTAAATAAATTACCATAATTAAGTAAAGAATTATCAATGGATTATAACTATTATTAAGCTTTATTGAATAAAATGGATAATTTTGAATCTCTAAGAGCTAATGACGAATTTTCTAGAGATCCAAATCTTTAAAATATATTCCCATAATATTCTTGGATCTCATCTACTTAACTTGTCAATTACATTCTGTTCTCTTCTTTCTTAATTATTTCATAATATTCAAGATAAGTTATATAATCATCATCCTTTTTTGTAGAAAACATATAATCTATCTATAAATTAAATATCTATAATATATACTTACAATTTTCATTTTTGAGAAATAAGATTCTGTGGCTGCTATCGTATTAGTACCATTCGAGGATATTTTAATAGGGAGAGGAGAATTAGGCTCATTTCTCTTAAGTCTATTATCATATCGAAATGTACTAATCATTAAATTCTATAACTTCTTGCTATATTGATTGTAGATTAATGGATAGTCGACTTTGATATAGTTTTTTCAAATTAGATTGAAAATCAATGAAGTTATTTGATAATGAATTCAGATCAGATTATATAATACTGTATCCAGTGAAGTATTCATCATTTCTTACAAGTAAATTATCAAAAGATGATGCCAAATAACAATTTGAATAATCTAATCCATTAAGAGCTTTATTTGAGTAAACCTATAAATATAATTGATTATTACTAATACGATTATAGAGACAATTATGAGTATTAAATTCAATATAATAATACTAGCTATCCCAAATTTATGAAATCTCTTTGTATTCAAAATGAATTCATCCTCTGTATGTGATTTTAACCATTTAATCAATGAACTATAAAATATAATACTATTATACCTTGGCATTATTGTTACTAATATGTAGAACATAGATAAAAATAGTGTTGCAATAGCAATGATCAACCAAGGAAGAGTGTAATATTAGAGATCGATAAAATATTCATCAGATGATATTACATAGCTATTATTAATCCATTTTTCAACTTGACTAGATAGTTCTTATTTTCTATCTGAATATATGGAATCTAAAATAGATTATCGTTCTGAATTTGTGATATCAACTAGATGATGATGATATTCAGTTTTTACAATTTTCAATATCTTAACATAATTGATATCTTGTGGTTGTGAATTCGAGAATATCACTATCATTATTATCGTTTGATAATGCAGAACTCATGAGGAGAACAAAAATGAATGGATAAGGTCGTAACATTAATGTATAAAATATAATTTAAATTAAATTATTATTGTTAAATTAATGAAGGATTGTTTGATATGATTATTAATTTATAATATAAATATATGAATGCTGATCATAAAATTCCATTAATGGAATAAGAAATGCCAGTATTAGATGGAAACGAATAGAAATTATCAAATCAACATGATAGTCAAATAAAAGGATCAATTAATCAAACTAAATTATCAATAAAAAATGCATTTTCTAGAATTAGCCATCTATCTGTTCATAATGTTAATACAGCACTCTTTTTCATTAGAGAGAATTGGAAGAGTGGTATGACTTAAGCAATGATGAATATGCCATTTATTTTAAATGCTGGTAATAATACTGGAGGTAATCCTTCTGCTGCCTATACATCTGCATTGATTGGAGGATTAATTAATGGATTTTTTAGTGGAAGTATAATAATAATACAATATCCAAAGGTAATCATTCAATATATGCACCTACTTGGGTTGCAGCAGGATTCAATTATTATATTGTATAACAATATGGATATGAAGCAGTTCCCTGGGTAACCATAATGGTTGGATTATAAATATACATTCTAAGTCATATGAAATGGCATCATTTAATAGATTTCATGCCAAATTATGTAATAGAAGGATATTATTTGGGATTACTATTTTTAATTGGAAATGGTTACATAGATTATGCTTTTGGATTAAGTGATATGCATTCAAATAGAGGATTTTAAGTATATCATGATAGATTTGAAATGTATCAAGGTAAATTAAACTAGATAAATTAGAATTCTTTAGAAGAGGTGATCTATATTATTTTGGAGCATCAATATTTATATTCCTTATACTCTACTTTGGTTGGAAGATAAATAAAGATCTACCTCTAATTGTATTAGTATGTTTAACTGGTTTGATGGTTGGTATACTTTATCCAACAGAAAAGTGTTTAAAGAATGTTTATGGTGATGTAAGTTTAAGAATATCATTTATTGAAAGTGGTGGTCCTCATTTCTAGCCAGATATGTGGACACTTATATTTTTATTTGTTTATGCTATTAAAATGACATTTTACATTACTGTTTAAAATTTATTATGTGCAAAAGGTGCTGAATATTTCACAGGAGTAAAATGTGATCATGATAAAGAAATCTTATGTGTCTCTTTAACTAATATTTGTGCAGGAATTTTCAATAGTATCCCATGTTGTGCATCTATTAGATTAATAATTTTGAATATTAGAGTTAGAAATATGAATAGATGGTCATCAATACTAAATGGACTTTCTGTCATTCTTTTTTATGGATTATTCAGTAGATATTTTCTATAAATTCCACTTTATTTTGTTAGTGGCATATTATTATATTCAGCATATATGTGTCCAACTTGGCCCTATTTAGAAATGTTATGGAGAACAAAAAGAAGATTAATTTTAGTTAAATAAATTACAATATCAATAATTTGTATATATTATGGACCTATTGAAAGTACTATGATAGGAAGTATGTATGCAATGTTGTAATTTGCTGAAAAAATGAGTGCAGCTGCTTCTGAAATAATAGTTAGTTCAGATGAAGTTCAAGTAAATATTTAATTTCTATTTATTAAATTAAGAAAAACTCATTAATTAAACGAAGTTGTGTTAAATAATAGGATGGAGCTGATTTGTAATTGAGAAATGACACTTTAGGTATTGAAGATGATTTTCCAAATACAAATACATTTAAAGGATCTTTTGCTATTTATAGATTTAATGGAGCTATCAATTATATCAATGTTAAAGTATAATCATTTTTAATATTTATAGAATCATATTGCTTAAATTAAATAATTACCAGAAAGAGATTATATTGTACTTAGTTTTAGATATGTTAGTGTTTTTGATGATGAAGCCATAGATAAATTAAGTTTAATGATATAAGCTCTTATTAGTAATTTATATATATATATTATAGGTTCATAAAGAGAAGTACTTTTGACAGGATTGAATTAAGGTATGATTGATGAAATGAGATATAATGAATATATGAATAATTTCTACAAAAAACATAGACATCATTTTAAATTATTAGGTTAATGATTTATGATATGTAACTATTTTATATTATATATATATATATATAGAATTAATCAATCAAATTACTAAAATGAAAACTCCACTCTCTTTAAATTATATTTATTATATAATTCATATGGTTTACTAAAAATATTAAATAAAAATATTTACTGATTAGAATTAAATTTAGTTTACAATTCTTCAAATATTGTTAATCTACACATATTCTCATATATATAATCATCTCTCTCTGTTAAATTGTTTATATAATTTTTAATCTGATTCTCATTTAATTTATATTCCATTAATGCAGTATTTTAATGTCTAATCTCATACTCATTTAATTCTTGAATAACTAATTCTTAATCTAATATCTTCTAATTAACACAATATACTAAAAAGTCATAAGCTAATTTTCTGCCTTTTAATTCACTTATATATTTGTTGCTTTTTTCATATTAGAATATCCTTTTAGACTAATGATTTTATCTTTTAATCATATAATATTCACTATCCATCAATTATGTAATTAAAATATTGATAATTTCTATTTGGTTATCTTTTGTTATTTATTTTTACACTATAAATTTGTAAAAATTATGCAATATATATTCATTGTTATATAATTCAGTAGTATTTTTATTTATATTATTCAACAAATGAATACATATTTATTTACTTATCTTATTTCTTATTTCTGGTAATTCATCTTGAAGTAATCTTAAATAAATCAAAGATAATCTTAGAGTATTCAAATTAATTAAATTTGGCATTGCTATACATATACTTTTAATTACTGCAATTCTTAAATCATCTATATTATTACTATGTGAATATAATTCACACATTTTCAAAAATTGATCTAAAAAATCTTATTTATATAACATAACATAACCATAAAGTTTAATAAGATGTTTCATTATACCTGAATCATTTATAAATCTCTTATTAATTTTATCTAATATTATTTAATTATGATTCAATATAGTTAATTTACTAATAATAAGTAAAAATCTTAAGCATTATTTTAAACATTAACTGAAATATGGTGTTTCAATCACTTCTAATAATTGATAAGTTAATTGTGCAATTTCTATATTAGAATCTTCTATTTTTTTATTTTTCTTTATTATATTATTATATTATTTATACAATTATTATAACACTTCTAAATCATCAATTTCTAAGAGTTCTTTTTATTATATATATTTTTAAACTTAATTCTTTATTAATTATTCTAAATATGAATGACTTTTATTCAAATTATCCAATTTAACTAAAAATGATATCTATTTCTTTCTTAATAGACTATGACCCATATCTTATTATATTTAAAATGTTTTTTAATTGAAATATTATTGATCAACTATATTCTTTGTAATTTAATAACAATCTAAAAATAAAACACAATCTTCTTATTTATTATTCTTAATTATGATATTTAAGACTTAATAATAAACAGATAATACAGGTGGACATTTGATTTCATTAATGATAAATCTTTTATTATGAATTTCTTAAATTAAAGTCTTTTCACTTTGTTTCAATTATTCTATTTAATCATTCTCATATTAATCTAATGTTTCCATCTTGATATTATAATAATCTTTAATTAATTAATGACACAAAAGTAATATACCATGAGCATTATTATGATTCTATTTTATAGTCTTACTATCTATTAATTCATTTAAGAGTTTAACAACATATGATGTTATTTGTTAAAATTAAAGGAATGGTAAAATAGCCTTTGATAATATCAATCTACCTAAATAATTCTTATTCTTTAAACAATTTATTAATGATGGTAATAATAAATCTAATTATTTTTAATCAAATTAATCTTATGTCTATATTTCTGTATATACCTTTCTAATAAATTTACCTTCCATTGGAGCCAATCTTGATAATAATAATGCTATAGGATATAAACTAGGATATAATTATTAATCATTGTAATCATTTATTTTATTTTAAAAGTATTATACTAATTAAGGTGATTTATTAAAGAATTCTATTAATGTCAATTTCTAAGAAATTTATTCTACATTTTAAGTATTTTTCCCTAATGTTCTTGATGCCAAAGCTGAAAATAACATTAAAGATGAATTTCTTACACTCCAATCATCATAACTAAAACCATCAATGGCTAACATATAAGCCTCTGATATAAATTAATCAAGATCTTATCTTAACCAAGCTTCCATAAATAATTTTCTGATTACATTAAGTGCATGAATTCTCATCTCTATTTAACCACCTTTAGCAAATTTCAATAATATCTTTACAACTTTTTCAGTCTACTTATCCTTACTTTAACAAGATCTTAATAAACAACACACCAAATGTGGTAAACCTGCTGATCTTCTAAATACATTTTTTAATTGATTTTAATCAAAGGCTTCAACCAATTTATCTATCAATTCATTTACTAATCCAGGTAATTATGAATTTTTATTCACACCCATAGTTTTACATAATTCATATAATCCTTATGCAATTCTATCAATAGAACCTAAATGTTTAATATTCAATAAAGCATGGAAAAATTGATAAGTAACTCTCTTTAATAAATCATTAGGTATTAAATTATCTTACATTTAATCAATCACTTTTGCTAATTCCTAAAAGAAAACTCCAGATTCTTTTGTAATCAAAAAGAAAGATACTACCAATATATTCTCAGATCCTTAATCTGTAGTTTATTCATCTAATGATTCAATCAATGTATTGCCCTAAAGAATCTTTTATACATTCTAAACAAACTCAGTCTGATAGAAATGTCCTCTGCAATCAACTTGATAAGGTTAATGTTATGTTTATTTGCCATCAATTATCCATGTACAAACATTCTCTGAACTTACTTAAGTAGCAAATTCAATTATGTCTTTTAATAATTCAAGTAATTTTACAAAGAATAATTTAAGTTATTCCTTATCTTCTAATAAATGAATATTATTTCTTTATAATATAATCCAGAAGGTTGAAACATATCCATGAATAAGTGTTTATTGTAATTAAGTAATATCATTAGAGAATACCTACTTAAAAGTATTAAATTTCTATTATAATTCATTAATTAAATAATTTAAAAATTCTATCTCTGCATTTTAAGTTGGATATAAGATATATGCATATTTCTTTAATAATAATGATAATAAGAGTGAACCACTTTCATAATATTTTATAATTGGATTACCTATATAAGAAGTTGCTATCTTATAGAGTTCTTTAGCTTTCTATTCATTAAAGAATTAAATTTCATTTGGAAGTAATAGTAATATTTCATAAGCTAAAGTTCTTGAAGATTCCCAATTACTACTACATTAAATGATTAATTATTCAACTTTTGTGTTTCCATAAGCTTATTCAAAACAGTAATTAAATAAAAATTATGTTTTTTGATAAAATTCACCTTTTTTTGGTTCTATTTTTTCAATAGTACCTAAATACATATATATCATCTTCAATATTTCTAAGCAAGGACTTGAAACTTCATAACAACACTCAGGTATTAATTGGGAATATAGGATATCTAGAATTGATTGTGTGAATATAATAATTGGTTAAATTATAGTTGTATCTTTTGATTTACCTGAATCCAAATATTTTAATTCTTTTTAATAGCTTATTCTAATTCTTTCAATAAAAAACTTAATTTTTGATAGATAATTCTTCTTAAAATTTGGATATGATGTTTTAATAACATATTTTATAAATAGTATAGTTGAATCTAATTCAATTTATGTAGGTTTTGCAGCTTTTTTGTTGTTCAAAGCAAATATTTGAAAAGCTTCAAATTAGATTGCTCTATCAATATTATACATCCACTTCTAAATTATTTAGATATCCAAATTCAATTTGATACCATTTTTATAAATTATGCCCTATTCAGTCACTGTAATATACTATTCAGATTTAGCAAATTTAAGTAATGAAGCAACAGCCCATACTTTATGTTTGTATTAATAAAAGTCTTGATCTTACTTTATAATGTGATCAATTATGTATTGAATTGATTCTATTTTGACATCTGCTAATATTCTATTAATTTATTATGAATAATTGAGATTGTAATTGTGTTAATTCTATTTGACACTTTGGATGTAATCATCAACAAAAATCTATACAAATTATTACAATCTTTGATTGAATAAGTCTATATTCTTTTTGTCTTCTTATCCTTATTCATTATATAGTTTTGTAAGCAACTTCTATAAGACTTGACCTCCAATCAATAAACTTTCATCAAAACAAGAATTGAATAAGTCATATAATAAAGTCTTTGAGAGGATAGAATGAAATATATTACTTTTTTTAATTTGAGTATATAAGTAGAATCATATTGATTAATCACATTATTTAGTTAAGTATATTGTTTCCTTAGATTTGTACATGATAAGATATCTTATAGATTGAATTATTCCATTTTTAAATTCTTTTCTTCACAAATAAATTATAATTAAATGATTAATTTTTGTATAGGTCGATTATTATTAATACTCAAACTTGAATATGACTAAAATCGACTGATTAGACCAAAGCCAAAGCTTATTCAGTGATTTATTATTCTCTAGTGAATTCATTTTTGGTATCATTGTAAATTTGAGTTTCATCAGCATAATTGTCATTTTCTAATTATAATTCTGCTTCATATTGTTTCAAATCAGCGACTCTTTGGTTAAGGAACTCAGTGACTTAATCAATCTTGTCTATTGAAATAGTATAGATATTAAATTACTATTAGTGGCAGTCAAATCTACATTGACAGCATTGATTTATCTTTGGAATTCAGCAAATTCATGATCTAATTAATCTAATCTTTCTTCATATTCTTCAACTGCATTAGCTTCAACAAGTGTTTAATCATTAATACTATCAACAATAGCATTTCTAAATTCATTCAAAGCATTAACAATTTAACCAATAATACCTTAATCTGAAAAGTTTTAATTTGATGCTAATGTAAGAAGAGCCTTTAAAAATGGTGCCATTTTTGATCTTGGTTTAATACTTTATTCAATTTTCTTAAGTGAATTTTAGAATTTCTTAACTTAAGCTAATGAAGGATTGCTCAAAGTTTATAAAAGTGCAAGAGCATCATCAACTGCAACTGTTGCATCAATTAATTCAGCAATTTAAGCTTCAAATGCTTCATGTTCTTATTCTCTTATTAAGACTTCTTCATCATAGTTTTTTCTATTAATTTCTTAATATTCTTCAAGATTTGCAATTCTGTTTTCTAATTATTCTCTTCTTGGAATCAATAAATTTTCAATTACATCTTCTGATCTACTAATATCAATTTAGGCATCATTCATTTATTAATTCAATTAAACAACTAAAGCATTATGTTGATTTGTTCTTTATTGGAAATTGAATTCTAATAATTAAAGTCCATCAATTAAATCATTATCTAATTCTTCGATGGCATCAACTAATTCACTTACAGCTCCTCCAGCCATTGAATGTAATTCAAGTAAATGTAAGAGGGCTTTTCCATAATTTGATTTTTATAGTTCTGTTTACAATTTTTATGGTGTTTATCTGAAAGTGGATTTCAAACTGCTTGCTAGAACAATCACTAATACCAGAACAAAAATGGTTTTCATTTAATTAAATATTAAATAAAAACGAACAATTTATTCCGTTTTTCAATTGCTAAAAAGAAATTGAAATTTGAATTATAACTAACAGACAACTCAATCATCATGACCAAAATATTGTTTTTATTTTATTTATGAATAATATTATTTCAATGGTGTTCATGATGATGGGCATATTATTTCTTCCAATTTTCTTCAATTTACTTTCTTACATCTGCAGGTAATTATGGATGATGATGTTAATAACCTCCTTCAAATGGACTACCTCCATGGAATTAATGAGGATCACTATGACCATCAAATTCAACATGTCTGACTATAATTAATTAATAAATTTATAAATATTACATCTTTCATATTCGAATACATCCTTATAATATTAAGTGATATATGCTCTTGTAGATGCTGGTTCACTTTTAGTAAGTCTTGAAGTGAATTATCTTAAAAAGTCATTCACCACTAAATCTTCATTAAGAGCTTCCAAATCCATATCTCCAATTGGATTAATAGGCTCAGTATTAATTTAAGTCTTAGTAGTATGTCTCCAATGAGATTCAATACCCATAGTATGCCATTGATTAACAACTGCTACAATTGTTTTTCCTGGAGTATGTCTATAAAGAGTTTCAAAAATTTCAATATCCTTTCTATCAATCAATATTTTCTTTTAATGAGGACTCAATTTCTCAAAAAGTTTAACAAACCAAGAAGCTCTATATTTATCAATTGATTCAGCAAATTATTCTCCTCCAAGTACTGCCAATTAAAAGGCTAAATCTTATCTTTCTCTTCTCCATCTGATTTGACTAAGAAGTTTAAGGAAATTCAAAGAAACACTTAATGGATCAAATCTTGGTTCAGTCTAAAATATATATAAAAGATTATATACTTTTAATGACAATAGATCATCATTAGAGATTTCTAAACCACCAAAGATAACATTAGCACCTTAAGCACGAGCTTATTCAATAGCATATTTGACTTCTAAGCCTGGAATGAATGGATGGAAATCACTATTGAATGCTAAAATTAATTATTAATAGATATTATTTACCTTTCAAAAATTACATTAAACCTAACCATGAGTAAAGTCTTGCCCAAAAGACTGTATTTCTGAAATTTCTGACTCCAGATTCCAATTCCCATTTATAAGCCCCTCTTAATACATCATTATAGACATTCAATTCTGATTGAGATGTGACTCCTTCAATATTTTTAACAATATTCCACCATTCTTCATTTGTTTACACATAAACACTATCTGGTTTTACTTCATTAATCAATTTTTATGTTCTGTAGGCCAACATAGTAGAAGCATGTGTTGATCCAATAAGATATAGTTTTCTATGTTTAGCAGGGTCTTCAAGTATGGTCAATGTATTCTCAAATGGATTGGATCTACATTCCATTTATATAATTACCTATTTCCAGCCCTAAGGAATTTGCTTAACAAATGATTTTAGTTTCTTTAGAATTTATGTACCACCTATCCAAACATTTTTATTTTTTTTATTAATAATAATAAATATATCCTTCAATATGGTTATTATATCAATCTCATTTTCATTTATGTTTATTAACAAATGTTGTGACCATTTATAATGATGCTTCAGGTTAATCAGTAGGCACAAGATGTCCAGCATTATTAATTAATACTAATTCTAAATTTCCAGCTGATTTCTGATATCCTACAATTCTTTCTGTTCCTGTAATCTTCAATACCTCAAAATCCTTCTAACGATATTCCTCAATCTTCTCATATTTCAAATCATAAACCCATCTCAAAGTTCCTGGAGTTGAACAAATGAGATCATTCTATCCATTATAAATCAAAAATGGAATTTGCTTAACCACTTCCTCTACTGTCACTACGACATCTCTTAACATAAAGTCATATTTCAAAGCCTTTTATACTGGACCATCATCAGCATTACTAATTTTATATTTCCAATCTTCACTAAATCCAAATTTATTCACTATCTATATGTTATTCAAATAATCCTCCACCTTCTTCTCAATTACTCCATAATTACCATATTAAAGTACATTGTACACATTCATACCACCACTCTAAGTAATAATAATATCTAAAGATTCTTCAAAAGCATCCCTTGCTGCCAAAGTATTACCTTTATTCAATTCTGTCATTCCATAAGCCAATATAGAGTCTACTTACATTCTCTCTTAAATATCAATCAAACCCAAATTAAATGAATATGCTGCATATTCTGCAATTACAGCATATGGATCTGTAAATGGATCACCTATTCCTACTCCTTTCAATGGAATCTTCTTCTAAGCATTAAGATTATAATCCAAGATTGCTTTTGCTATAGTTGGAACATACCTAAATCAAATCCATATTTACTTTCCAGCATAACTTTCACCAAATACAAACCAAGGTGATTAAGTCAATCCTCTTACTTATTATTATTCTACACAACCTTTTGCTCCAAATAAGAATTAATTCAAAGCATATAAAAATTGTTATCCAATTTATTTTTAATTTGTTGGTACTTCAGATTGCTTCTCAACATAAGCCAAACCTGTACCAATAGGTTGATCAACGAAAATCACATTATATTCTGTATTCCAAGCATATAAATTCTTTTTTAAATTACCATCACTTTACATTAACAATGGTCCCAATTCCATAAAATTACCTAATTATGAAGATGATCCAGGTCCACCATTCAACCAAATTAATGTTGGATAATTCTAAAGTTCACTCTCTTATTTTGCTTTCTAACTTCCATAAAATATAAATCCCAATGCTGAATTACTATTTTCATAAACACTCAAATATCCTGAATAAATCACTTGAGTATCATCAAACAAAGGATCTAATTTCTATGCATCAACCTTTTTGCATTTTGTTCCTTAAGGAAATGTTCCTTCACTTTTGAATATATCACTATAATTATAAAGACCTTCTTTAAAGCTCAATCTACATAAACCCAAAGTAATGAATGTTAACAATATAAATTTCTACATACAAATATTATTTAAAATGATATTGACATATATAATTACATCATAATTTATTATTAATGAATACATATATATAATAGTATCCATTTTTATTATCTATCTTTTTTTTTTCTCTATTTTACATAGATATTATATAGTTTTTAACAAATGAATATCTTAAGAGAAACTTGGATTATGGAAATGTTAATACAATTTTTTGTTTCTTTATTTTTAATTACTGAAACCAATTAAATTGTTTTTAGAAATTAAAGAATAATTCTTTAATAACAATTTAGTGTATAAAAATGGATTACTATTTTCATTCATTTATTATATAAAATAATGGGTAATTGTGAGACTTCCAACACAGTTATAGGTGATCCATAATTTTAATAAATTGGAAGTTAAGCACAAGCAAGAAACTTTAGTTCTACTTATAAAAGTGAATACATTGAAGTACATGGCAATCTAGCTGTTGTAGAGGAACAAGAAGAAGGAGGCTTAGTTCTTTTGGATGAATAAGCAAAGGAATAAGACTTATTAAAAGTGAAGATATGTTGTGACACATTATAAACAGTAAAAAATTAATAGATATTCTAGAGTATAGGAATTGGTATAGTTGATTTCGATATTATAAAAGAAACTGATTTTTCTGGAAATTGTAATTATGGATTAGATCATGGAATGTGGATTGTTTATTCTGATAAATGTAAATTACTTATTTAAAAATTTAGTGGTTGCTGCCTCTAATGATGAAGATCTTGATAAGAAATCTTTAGGTATTGAAGTATAAAAGGGGGAAATTATTGAATGTCTTAGAAATGGAAATGTTTTCTCAATTAGAAAAGCTGGAGAGAATAATAAAGCAATAACCTTCAAATTACCTCCTAATAGAAATTATAGATTTGCTGCATATTTATTCAGTGGTTGGGATAGTAAAGAAGCAAAAGTATCAGAAGCTAGAATTGAAACATTATGAAATTTATACACATAAATTGTTATATGGTTTAATATTCAAATAATCATTCAACATATTCTACTCCTGTTACTAAGGCTTTCTTAGTAAAACTAGCAATTAGATACCCTGCATCATTATATTTGTGATCTGTATTCCATAATAAATTTCCCTAATGAATTTCTTTCTTAGTGGTAATAAAATGTCCAATTGCATATTGATAAATTTTATCAGTGATTTATTCCATTTTATCAGTTTCTTTCAATCCATATATAGTACAAATCTCCAAAAATTCTGGCTCGGCATATAAACAATTAGTATATTCTTCAGGAAGTCCCTAAAATCATAGTTAGATTAAATTACATTAAAATAATCATCAACTTCTTTCTTTAATCCTAATAATTAAGCAAGACTTGCTTTGTCAGCTTTTTGTAGCATATAACCAACAAAATTAAAAAGATCAATTTAGGTAGCATTATCTCCACAATTAGAAATATGTTAAGGTTCTGGTAAATTATTATATTTATAGGCTCCAGTCAAAGCTTCTTAATTGAATTGACGTTCAGCAGGTGTATAGATACATGATGCTATTGCTAAGATAACAAATAATGTTCCAATTGATTTCATTTTTTAAATATATTATATATTAGTGAGAATCTTTTTAAATTCGAAGAAATGATTTAAGTTCCATCCAATCAGATCACAAATTTTTTTATAATCTGTCATTAATAATATTATTATTAAAGATTAAATAGAAATTAAAGTTTTTTGAATATATAAAATTATATTAAAAATTTATTTAATTATTTAAGAAAATATATATTAAATTCTCACAAATATTAATTTATTTTATTGCCACCAGGTATTTTATCCATTATTTCCTTAACCTTTTTTGATTTATCTTCAACATCTTAAACTGTCTTACTTACTTTAGATATATTCTCATTAATCTAATACTTAAAATATTAAATTACATTTTTAGTTGTAGACTCTAAAGTACCTGCTAATGCTACCATCTTTTCAACTTAAGGTGCAATTTTAGATAATGCATCCATATCTTCTCTCAATTATCTTATACTATCTCCTAATTATTATACTCTTTGTAGATCGTTCCCCATTGCTTAATTTATTATTAATTTTATTGTAAATTTATTTAATTATATTTCATTCTCATATCAAATACCGAAATAAGGAGAAGGATGCTCATCTTGACTTTCTAATTTAATCTTTTTAATCAAATACTTTATTAATCAGTTGAACTTTCTACACTATTCTTAGCAAAACTAAAAGATTATGTCTCAACAACACTTATTATAGGGAGTTCTTCATCATGATAGCATCCCCAATAAAAATCATTTGTATAACAAACAATTATAAAATAGCATGTGTTATCAAATGCAACTAAAAGTAAAAATACCATTAAATTAATAATGCTAGGATAAAATAACTTCATATCAAATTGATAAACTAATTAATTAGAATAACAAACATCAATAATTGATTAATTAACATTGATTACCTCTATAAACTATAAAATCAAAATAATAGCAATTATTAATTCAAAACTTATTCTTATAATGAGTCTCAATTTAAAGGATTGCTTAATCAATCTATTTCTATATCCTGTGAGTCTATTTATTATTAGATTTAATTACTTTTTATCAACATGACATAATTGACAACAAAATAAAGTCAATATGAAATAAGCAAGAACTGGTATATAACATTCAAATACAAGTACATTATATATTCTTAAATTATTTAGATCTATTCCATATTTCTCCATGCAATCTAAATTATCTAATAGACTTTATTCTTCATTCATTTCATTAATATTATTGAATGTGAGTATCAAATATATGAATTGTAAAGTCATTAAAACAATTATAGCGCTTTAGCATATGATATATTTGATACTAATTGATTTCTGGTTCTCAAAATGCCCTATTTTGAAATTTTCTAATACATAAATTAGGTGGGCAAAGCAACATTGAATTTAATTCTATATATAATTTGATAATTTATATTAATAATGTATTTGTATATATTCAAGGATTCTTCTAAGCTAACTTATTGACATTTGGTCTTCTTCTTCTTCTTCTACTAATTCCAAATCCAGGCATTCTTTAAACAAATAAATTATTAATTCCCATCTTTTGAACATGTGTTCTAATTTCTACTTTACATTTTTCCAATAATTCTGATTTCAAGAATGTGTGCTTAACCTATAATATTTCTTTATTGAGTAAATCAAAATCTGCAATAAATTCCTTATTTGCTCTTTCTATTGATCTTTAGTGTCTTGCATGAAATACTGCAGCAATAAATAAATTCTATGGGATTTCTTCAAGTAAAAAATACTCATAAATAAGTTATAAATCTCCATATTTATATTTAGTATGTGATAAAAATTTAATGACTTGATCCTTTTTGAATGTTACTTAAAATTACCAATCTTCAATTTTAATCTCTTCAACTTCCTTGAAAATTTAAGAAGTAATAGCAGACATAGTCTTATATTCTTTAAGTTTTTCATTATCAAATCCATTAATTATTCTTTAACTCAATTCTGTAATTATTTTAACTTCATTCTCTTAATTAAAAAAGTAATTAATATGATCTTTAAGAACCATATCTTTCATTAATCTCCCTATAGTTTCTATCAAAAATCTATTTACTACATTTCTTACTTATTCTAATTAATAGTTATTCTTTTCAGCAGATAAAATAAGTAATGCCTTAATTGTATCTTAACATTAAGTATCAAAATCCGTATTAACATCAACCAATGTTTAAATTGGATTATTAATTAATTTTTCTGTGAAATTCTTATATTTCATACCATAAGCCAATGTATATGATTCATTTATTAAACTTATCATCTCCTTAGTCCATTCAGTCTTTGGTTATCTAATTAAATAATATAAAGTGTTAGCTAATAAGGCTGCATAAGAATAATCAAAACAAACATCTGCATTCTCACATACTACAAATGTCATAATTGTGTGAAATAATAAAGATCTAAAGAATGGTTTAAGATCTTCATTCTTTGATGTGTACAAAGGAAGTATACAATTTACTATCTCTTCTTCTCCATTTCCTACTTAAAACTTTAATTCATGTTATGCATTCTCTATTAATGATACTGAATCTATAAATTTATGAATTCTAACAAGAGATACAATTTCAATTTTATATGGATCAATCATACTAGCATTTGATCTTTTAACTTATAATCCATAACCAATAATTGGAAATGCTGTAACCAATTAATATTGAGATGTACAATTCTCTAATCCAAAAATTAAATCTTTCTCTTATAATATTTCCTTCTAACTTTATAATGTCATTATTGATCTATCTCCATCATTACCATCAAATTTATATTCTTTAAGTAGCTATATAAATTATTATTTAGCTTTTGTAAAATCTTCTAATGATAATCCTGCAAATTTAAGTGCTTTATTATGAAATTTTCCTATTTTAGTTCCAATCTTTAATCTGTCAGCTGCATCCTTATCACTTAATTTACTTAATGTAAAATCTTATGTGAATAATTTCAATTCAGCAACAAAATCTGAAAGTTCTGTCTCCTTTTATTAAGATTCTTAAACTCTTTAAGCAAATGTCTTTTATTTTTTTTAACCTTAAAGTTTTGGAATTAAATTTGATAATCTTTCTAATTCTGCAAGTGCCATTTAAGCTTCTTATTTTACATTTTATTTCAATGAAAGTAATTGGATATTTTATAACCAAAAAGATGCCAATTCTAATATCATAGCTTCAGATGGATTTGATGATTAAACTTATATTCCATCAAATGTTATCTCATTATCATAGCTACCTACCCAACTACCAGACCATACCTTTGTTGTTGTCTCTTAACTCCAAGGAAAACATAAACAAGGAGTTGTTTCACATTATTTTCTAGGTTTTAAAATTATCCCCACAGATTAAAATTCCTCTTAAAATATAGAATCCAAAAATTAATCTCTTTATTTATCATTTGATTAATCTTGGACAGAGACTATAAACACAGGAGGTATTGACAAATTGCCTGTATGATAGAGTGATCTTAGACTCATTGAAATATGAGTTGGAAATCCATTTCCCACTCCAACACATATAAAATTTAGATTTTATACATTAGACATTGTTTATTTTATGGCTTTCTCATCATAACTACCTTGTCCATCAGATACAAAAACTACTGTTAAATCACTTGTTATCGATCTTTTTTGAATTTCTTAATTTAAGGCAACAAATGCACATGTTATGTTTGTACCTCCACCACCATATTAATATATGTTTGGATTAATTATTTCATTAGGCTACAATACTTTTACTTGTGTATCAAAAGTAATTGCTATTGATAAAGATGATTTTTCTTTTAACTCATTGTAATATTTCGCAACATATTTCCAATCTATAATTTAATAATAAAAAGATACAGCTTGACATAGATCCTGAACAATCTAAAATAGAAATCAACATTCCCTTTTCATTATTATCTTTTTAAGGAAGTTTAAAATACTTTACATGAACTTCTTAATCCATATTTAAATAAATAATAAGTTGAATAAGATATAAATTTTATATTATATAAAGCAATAATTATTCTTTCATTAATAAATAATATATTATAAAAAATTCAGTTTATTTAGTAATTAATATATATATTAACCATATTTAATTCAGGGTAATATCAAATTTTTAGACTTCTTTTTCTTCTTCGTTAACCTAATTATTATAGTTTAACCTTTATTTTGTTCTTAAAATATACAACTTTAATCAGGTCCATAATTTTTAGGTATATTATTATACTATTCTATTAATCAAATTATAGCCTAGTTGTCTAATTGAATTGAAAAATAACCATGTTTTGTGTATATAAATCTATAAAAGTTTTCAAAATTTGAATACTCATAAACAATTATTAGAAATATTTAACTGAATGAAGTAGTACAAGATTGTATATTTTTCTTGTTATAAATTCCAGAATAATTTGAATATCAACGAAAATAGAAACTTCCTTCTTTCTTACAATATAACTAAAATTCACAATAACCAGGCTTAACCATATATAATATGTATTATACAATTGTTAATTTCTATCTGCCATCTTTAATTTTTCCATTTTTTCATATTGACAAAATGCAAAGATAGAATGCAAAACTATATATAGAACTTGGATGAAAAAAAATAAATAATAAGAGAGGTCGCTTCCTTCTAAGGAATTATGGTACTTCTCATAATTAAAATGACCTGACTTTAATGAAAAAAAACAGAATTTTCCAAAAAAAAAGAATAAAAATCATAATTCTTGAAGAAGGAGAGAGAAATGGTAGTGGTTTTCAAAAACAATTCAAAGAAGAGTATTGCTTAGGTGAGATAAAGATTAACTAACACAATTTTTTTATATAATTAAAAAATAAAGATGACTATTCACCAATAATAACCATTCAAAACATGTTAGATTGTCTAGAAAATGGTATAATAATTTGTTTAATGATCTTTACTAAATGGTTAAGTGTATTTAAACTATTATTTATATTTTCCTTGATTGACCGCTACACATTCAATAATACAATATTAATTGATTGCGAAGCATCCAAACACTTTTTTTAATTCTAATTCTCTAAATTCTAACATAATTAGATTCTCTCACCTCTCTTTTCGTAATATAAAAATATTAATTATCTGAATTAAAATAAAAAATCAAAACTTGATGGAAAATAACTCAAAAATATGATGTTAGATAAAAAAACAAAAAAATTAACATAAATTAGATTTATATACCCCCTTTTGTGAATTTCAAATATTAATACTTTAAATAAAAATGAATAAGACTATTCTATTCATTGCATTGTTAGTCATACTAACAAATTGCTAAACAGTTACGATTGCAACAACATGTGCTTGCACACAAATGCTTACTGAATCAGATTGTGGAAAAAAATCTGGGTGCTCTTGGGATAAGACCAAAAAAGCATGTGCAATCACAGAGAAACCAACAACACCAACAGATACAACAACTTTTGCTGCTTATTGTGATTAATTCAATACAGCAGAAGAATGCCCAAAGAAGAATCCATGTGCATGGGATGGTAAAGCATGTACTCATTTTACTGCATGCACACCTTTTGTTTATGATGATGATGCTAAATGTTAAGCAGTCTCAAATAGATGTATTACAGATGGAGTTCGTTGTGTAGAGAAAGCTGCTTGTTCAACCTATTTAACTTCTAAATCATGTGTTTTGAATAATTCAGGAAGATATTGTTACTGGAATACATCGGATGCAGCAAATCCAAAATGTGAAGATGCTGATGATTGTCCTAAATTACCACTCTCATTAGCTTCTGATGCAGCTTGCAGAGCTTAGCTTACTAAATGTACAGCTAAAGAAGGTGGAGGATGTGTAGAATTGGGAGCTAAATGTGAAGACTAAGTTGCTGAAATAGGATGTGTTAAAGATAAATCAGGAGTAGCATGCTTTTGGAAATAAGGAAAATGTTATGATAAGACATGTGATAATGCTCCAACTGAACTTGTTACAGATTAAGCATGCAAAGATTTTATTTCAACATGTACTACTAAATAAGGTGGGGGTTGTGTTACAAGATCAAATTGTGGAGCTGCTATTTAAGCTGCTTGTATTACTAATAATTTGGGAGAAGAGTGCTTTTGGAATGGCACAGCATGTGTTGATAAAACATGTGCAAATGCTTTGGCTACAAATAAAACTAATGCAAGTTGTTAATCATATTTGAAAAAATGTATTACAACAGGAAGTGGATGCACAGATAATACTGGTTGTGATGCTGCAAAAAGTAAAGAAGCTTGTGATAAAACATTAACTGGAGGTATTTGCCATTGGGATGGATCATTTTGTAAGAATAAGACTTGTGATAATGCTGGTAGTTCATATGTTGGACATGACTAATGTACTACATATATGGCCACATGTACAGCTAAAACTGGTGCTGCTTCAGGATGTTAAGATAGATCATGCACTAATGCTCCAAAAACAAATACCACAAATGACTAATGTGAAGCTTATCTTCCAAAATCAAATTGTATCACTTAAGATGGAGGAGGATGCAGAACTAATACTACATGTGAAGCTATAAATTTGGAAGCTGCTTGCAAGGCAGACAAAGATGGTAAAGTTTGCTTCTGGGATAATGGAAAATGTTTGACTAAGATTTGCACCAATGCACCATCTACAAACAATAATCATACTTTATGTAATGCCTTTTTAAATACTTGTACTGTTGGAAGTGGCAGTACTTGTGTTGATAAGACATGTGAGAATGTTTAGGATGATGCAAATTGTAATACTGATTATAATAATAAACCATGCATCTACAAAGGAAAATGCTATTAGAAGTAATGTGCCTTAGCATCAAAGGACTTTAACACTTATGCATAATGCAGAGATTACTTACCTACATGCACTTTAGATAACTCAGGATCAGGATGTATGGATTTACCTATTAAATGTGAAGCTATTACCTCAACAGAAGGTTGCTAAATTAAAAAAGGAGGTGGAAAATGTGGATTGATTGGAAAGAATTGTGTAGATTAATCTTGTCTTACTGCTCCATCTGCTGATTATACAACAAGTGCTTAATGTAATACTTATAAACCAGGATGTGTTGTTGATAATGATGAAGCTGGTTGTATTGATCTTCCTGCAACTTGTTCTGCAAGAAAGAAATAAGATAATTGCTAAATTGAATAAGATAGATCTATAACACCATTAAAATGCTAATGGGATAATTTGACTGATGCAGCAAATCCAGTTTGTATAGATATTAAATGTGAAAATGCTCATCTTGTTTCTTTGAGAGGAAGTGTAAGTCAAGCTGGTTGTTGGGGTTATTAAAGTTTGAAATGTGTTATTAATGCAGATGGTGATAAATGTATTCCCAGACCTAAGGCTTGCAGTGGATTAGCTGAAGCAGCTTGTAAATAGGTGGGTTTGATATAAGTTACCGATTCTACAACAAAGAATTGTTATTGGGATGAAAATTCATAATCTTGCAGAGATGAAACTTGTGCAAATATCACATTAGCTTCTTATACTCATTTAAACTGCAAAGGTGCTATTTCTACATGTACAGTAAATGCAACTTTAACTAAATGCTAAGATATTGTTGCATGTGATAAATATACTGATGATGATTAATGTTAAGTTGATACAATTGGAAATGTATGTGTCTGGGTTAGTAGTGCTTGTAAAGACAAAGCTTGTGCAGATGCAGAAGATTCAACTAGCTATGATAATGATACTGACTGTTAAGGATTTTCCAAAAAATGTACATTAACATAAAGAAAATGTGCTTTGAAATTAAGTACTTGCTCTGCTATGAAGAATCAAGGTGCATGTGAAGCACATACAATAAGTAGAAAATAATAATGTGCATGGGCTTCAGGAGCATGTGCTGATGCAGCATTTGATTGCACAAAGGTCACTGGAACAGGTTTAACACTAGGCTATTGCTAATCTTTGAAGAATACTTGCTATGCAAATTCAGATGGCACAGCTTGTGTTACTGCATTAGCAAATTGTGGAGATTATACAGGAACTGGAGCATCAGCATGCACTTGGTCTAGCGCTTAGAAAGAATGTTTTTGGGATGGAGATTCTTGTGAACAAATAGTTCTTGGAACAAAATGCAGCCTTATTCCTGGAGACAGCATTTCAAAATGCAAAAGTAAAAAGAGCTCATGTACTTGGACTACTGGAGCATCATGTTCTACAGACTGTGCAGCTTTCAAAGGTCCATTTAATTATGACACTTGCTAAGCATTTGATCCATAATGTACAATCAAATTAGATGGTACTGGATGTGTAATGACAGCTGCTACTTGTGGAGCTACAGATGCAGCCAATTGTACACATTCAGATGAAGGAATATGCTACCATGATGGTACAAATTGTGTAAAAGCTGCTGGTGCAGAAGTTGTAAACTGTGGTACAATATTAGGAAAAGGATTGACTCCTGCTTACTGTAAAGGAATTAGTAATAACGCATGTTCTGTAAATACAGAATTAACTGCTTGTATTGAAAAATAAGATAATTGTGCTAGTTATTTAACTCCTTTCACTGGTTGTCTTTCAGGAGTTACTTAGACTCAATGTTAATTGAAGAGCGATAATAGTGCATGCGAAGTTTTTACTAATTGCGCTGCTGTAAAACTCTGGAAAGCATTAAACACTCCAATTACATATACAAATGCAATTTGTAAATTATATAATTGCAAAGCTAAATCTGATGGTACTGGTTGTGAAGCCTTTCCTCCTGTAACATGTGCCCATCACACTGGTCCATATACATACGAAGCTTGCATAGGCTTTTTATCCACTTGTTCAGTTAATACAGGTAAGTCAGCTTGTGTGACAGCTTAAAATACTTGTGCAGAATATAGTGTGGCAGATTGTGGATATGCAGTAGATGAAGGAGAATGTGTAATATCTGGAGGAGCATGTGTTTAAAAGACTTGTGATTCAGCTCCTGTTACAATCACTAATTTAGCGGGATGCTAAACATTTTCACCAAACTGTGTTTTAAGAGTAGGAGGATGTTAATTTAGAGCTACATGTGCTTCATATACAGTTCAGGGTGCTTGTGTTAAGAATGCTACTGGAGGTGATTGTTTGTGGAATCCAACAACAGCTAAATGTGTTGATAAAAGTTGTAGTGCAGCTGAAGCATCAACTAGTTTCGATACTCATGCTGAATGTTTAACTGTAGGAAAATGCACAGTAAAAGCAACTGCAGATAAGGCAATTGGATAAGGATGTATTGCTTTTGCTGCTTGTAATTCATATACAATTGAAGAATAATGCAAGAAAAATGCAAAAGAAGAAGAGTGTATTTGGAATACAAATACTGATCCAGCAACTTGTGCTGATAAATCTTGTGCTACTGCTGCAAATGCATCTTATAATGATCATGCTGGATGTAGAGGATATCTATCAGGATGTACAGTGAATGTTGTTGATGTTAATGGAACACCAACACTTTAAGGATGCGTAGCCTATAAACCATGCAATTAATATACTCATCAAGAATAATGTTAAATTAGTAGCGAAAAAGATGAGAAAGGTGCAACCATTATATGTGGATGGAATGGTAATGCTTGTGCCAATAAAACTTGCTTAACCGCTTAGGAAACTGTTAACACTCCAACTTTATGTAACGATTATCTTTCTGGCTGTACTGTTAATGCAACAGATAATGGTTGTATTGCTATACCAGATGTTTGTGAAGGAATGACATAAAATCAATGTTATGATGGATCAGTAGACAAATCATCAAGAAAATGCTATTGGGATACAACAGATAGTAAATGCATAACAAAGAAATGTGAAAACTCACCAAACTATGCATCAGAATCAGAATGTGACACATATTTACCTGGTTGCACAACAGATGCTATTAAATGTAAGACAAAAATATGCGAAGATTTCCCATTAACAACTGATGCTTTATGTAAAGCAGCACTATCTCATTGTACATCAAATGGAGTTAATTGTGTGAGAAGAGGATCTTGCAGTTAGGCATTAGATTAAGCTGGATGTGTTACTGATTTTAATAATAGATAATGTTAATGGATGGAACCTACTGGATAAACTGCTTATTGTACAAACAAGACTTGCGCAACTGCTCCACTAACTTTGTAAACTGAAGCTTAATGTGTTGCTTATTTCACACCTTCAGTTGGAACATGTACAACAAAGAAAGATGGAGGTTGCACAGTTAAAGGAGCATGTACAGTTGCTAATGTTGCTGCTGCTTGCACAACTGACAGTGATGGAAAGGATTGCTGGTGGGACACTGAAACTAATGGATGTAGATTGAAAGAATGCAAAGATTTTTCTGGTACTAGTCATGCTGCTTGCTATAAACTAAGAGCAGGATGCACAGCTGGATTAAATGGAAGATGTGCTAAAATGACTAATTGTTAAGATATCAAAGTTAGAGCTGCTTGTATTGAAGGTAATGATGGTCCTTGTTTATGGGTTGCTAAATTTGTGAATGCTGATTCTACTTTTGGAGCTTGTTTCTCTTATGATTCATGCAAGAGTTTAGATTGGACTTCTGATGGAAGCTGCAAATGGATTTCACCAAATTGTACAACTGATGGTACTGAATGTGTTGGAATTACAAGTTGTTAAGGTACAAATGTTAAAGGAGGATGCAAGACAGGAACAGACGGAGAATGTATTTAAACAGTATCAGCTAGAGGAGCTACAGATACAATTTGTAAGAAGTTTACTTCATGTGCTGATGCTTACTATTTAACTCACGAAGAATGCAATTCAGCAAATTCTAATTGTACATCAGACTATTCAACTGGATGTATTCCATTGGCTGCTTGCTCAACATATACCTAAAACTAATGTTATAGAAATAAGGATGGAGCATAAAGAGATGCTAATGGAGGTATAACATCAACAGGTATCTGTGTTTGGGATGATACTGCCAAATAATGTAAAGATCAATAATGTACAGATCTAACTTTCACTTCAGAATAGGAATGCTCTTCAAGATTGAAGACATGCACATCAGATGGAGTTAAGTGCCTCGTTAAAGGAGCTTGTAATACTTACACAACTATAGCAGCTTGTAATGTTGCTGGTGGTACTGAAGGAGCTTGCTTCTGGGTTGCAGCAGATGCTTCAGGAAGTTGCAGAACAAAGGTTTGTGCTGATATTCCAAATGGTACAACTACATAAGCTTGTTAAGGAGTTGCAAACTGTGTTTCAAATGGAACCACATGTATTGTTAGAGCTAATTGTTCAACATATACTACAAAGACTGCATGCAATTCCAGAGGATCTGATGGTATTTGTGTTTGGACTGAAACTACAACTGGAGGAACCACAACAGGAAAATGCTCATTAATGACCAGTTGTGCTTCAGCAGGAACTGATTCTAATGCTTGTTCATAAGCTAATGATAGATGTTAAATGGATGCAAAGACTAAAGTTTGTGGTGATCATAATTGTGCCTCTTATGCTGCTTAAGTATAAAGTTGCAAATTCTTCTATACTTGGGATTAAAAGAAATACAACGTTTGTTCAACAGTCAATGGTGTCTGTACTGCTACCAGTGCTGATACATTGAAAGAAGGAGATTGTTACACTTTGACAGCATATCTTTATTCATGGAATCCATCAAGCTCTAAATGTACTCAATGTGGAACAGTTGTTGTATAACCAAATACTACTGATAATAATACAAGCACTGGTGGTAATGATACCAATACAGATTCTGGTTATATTCTTGGATTTACCTCAATTGTCGTCGGACTACTTATGTCCTCTTGATTTTGATTATTAAATTTATATAGGGAAAATTTATTAAAAACATTCTAAATCATTTTGTTTTATTAATAAAATATTATTTGAATTTTAAAATAAATAATAAAGATAATCAATTTATTTATTTGTTTCTTAAGATTGAAAATAAGATGATATCAAACTTAATCTAATTAATTAAATTATTTTATACAAATACATAAAATTTCATAAAAATGGACATAATTATTGTGTAATAATATATTTCTAAAACAAAAAATAAGAAAGAAATCATTAATTTTAGCTAATTAAGAAGTTAAACATCAACTACTTTTAATCTAAATTAAATATTTAATTATAAATTTTAATAACAATTGATTATTAATCCAGAAATAATAATTAATCTTATATGATATATTTCAGAGATAAAATGCATTACTTTTAGAGTCTAATGTCGACTGATTATACGATTAAGTACTAAGAGTGACTTAATTAGCTAAAAATACTCTTTTAAATAGAATTATTCTTACCTATTAATACATACTGATAATTGAATAACTATCAAAATCATGAATTAAAAAATATTGTAAAAGTGAACTTAAATGACTGAGATTTTACTTAATATAGAATTATAACAATTTTTGATTTAAAAATTCATTTTATTAATTTTTATTGCCTAAATAAAATCAGTCTTCTAGTGAAATTATATTAAGTTGATCAGATTTATATTTTTTCTATACTGATATAATTAACATTTTATTACTAGTATAAATTCTTAATAATAATATTGATATTTATAATTATAATTATGAATATGAGTACTACTAGTATATAATCGGATAAAGAATACAAAGGAATTTAAAAGATTTAATCATTGTCACCGTAATAATCATAAAATTATTTAGTAATAAGAGTCATACGTATTTCTAATAAACTTAAAAATAGCATAATTATTTCAATTAACCGAATTAACAAAAAAAAGCTTAGAACAATAATGATAACTAAAAAAACTCTTATATTCTAAATAAAAAAAAGAGTCCTGAAATTAATGAAAAAAATAATTTATCTTAACAATAAAATAAAAATAAAAGTTTTTTATTAGAAGATTCTAATTATCAAATTTACGATTGTATTAGTACTTTTTAATTACGATATGAGAAACTATTATTATGTGAGAATTTATTGTTTTATTATAAATCATGTTGTGATTACTAAGAAAATTAAAATAAAGAATATAAAAAAATGGATGGAAAGTTATATTAAACTAATTTTGATGAGAATAAGAATCCAAAATTTAAAATTTAAGAAGGCTCTTTTTCGGTTAACTTAAGTAAATAAAAATTTGTACTAAGTGAAAACGGAATAGAGTATTTAGGCAAATCAAATACTATAAAAAATAGTCCAATTAGAGATTATGACGATGGAAATAATAAAAGGTCAAAAAGTGCTCCAAATACAAAAATTGTGATAATTGATGTTTCAACTGGTTTATAAGTAAATAAAAATTATGCAATAAGAAATAATAAAAATGAATTGCTCTCTTGTTGGTGCAAATATAATTAATAGTTTTGTAAGAAAGATAATTTAATTTTATCAAATAAAGGACGATTAACAAGCAGCATTATTGATGGCTATGTTATGTATTTAAATTTAGAAAGTGAAAGAATTTATTTTAAAATGTAATAAAGAAATCGATAAGAAATAAATAGGATATTATTATTACCATCTACTCTAACTACTAATTTTGGAAAAGATTATAGTGATTAACATTCAAAATTACTCTTCGAAACTGAGTTACTTGAATTTTAAGAATTGAATTATGAATTAGAACGTATCTATTCATATATAGGTATGCCTGTAAATTAGAATAATTACCATTGGTATTTTTTACTTTTTGATTTAAAACAGAAAATATGTACCATTTTTGACTCTTTGTAATAGCCTAATATAAATATGAATATAGATTAAAAGTTACTTTCAACTCTAGAAAAATTATTAAAAATAAAGGATTGTAAAAGAGAGTTATCCTTATTTTCTGGTTAGTAATTTGATGGTTATTCATGTGGATACCATGTTTGCTAATTTATGAAGTATTGCAATGAGAAATAGTTTTAATCAAATGTAAAATATAATTACAATTAAAGTGAAATTACAGAAATTTTATTAAAAGTTATTCAATAATAATAATAATGATAATCAATTACATTAGAAGTATTAGAAATTGTCTACTAAATATCATTTATTATTCTAAATTTAAATAGAAATTTAATGATATTTTTGTTGTTCAATTTCAATTTCTTTTCTTGCATTTCTGAATCTAAAATTCTTTATATATCAAAAAAGAAATAGGATTAAAAATATATCATTTGATTTTATGTATATGATTATTCTACTTTTTTAATAAAACTTTAACATATATCAATTATATCCATTTATAAATATATTCGTTTTCTATGAAGAATTATTTATTCTTATAATTTTAGACTTTATTTTCTAATAATTCAACTCGAAAATATTGCATTATTTGCTGAATTTATTAGATTGATTATAAATTTTTTGTTTTAAATTATTTTAGTATTATTTTTAATTAAATCTATTGCAAGAATAATTAAGAAGAGCTCTTTGAAATAGATAGAATTTAAATAATCAATTAAATTGTCAGGTAATGGATGATTAGCTTCAAAGTAGTAGAATATTATATAGGTTTTATTTTAGTATATATATTATAACAATATTATTATTTTATTATCTACTATTATATAATTTTTAATTATATCAACGGTATTATTTCCATACCAAAATGTTTCCTTAATATTAATTACCCTAATTTTCAAATAAACATTAAGCATATCTGAATGTTTAGATTGCTTTCTAATACATGTGTTATTTTTCTAGTGTGAGTCCTAATATTATTTCAATATTAACCTTTCCAACTATACGCATCCTCTTCATTTGGATTCAATAAAATAGCTTAATCAAATTAATTTATAGCTTCTTAGTTTTACTGTAATTACATTAAAGTAATTCCTAAATAAATAAATTATTAACTACCTTTATTAATATATATTTATGTATCCTATGGGCTATATTTAAGGGCAAAATCATAAGCATTTCTGGCTTCTTCATATTTCTTTAATTAAAATAATGAAAATCCTAATAATATTATTAAAACAATTCTTCAATACCTTTCCTATTATAAGCATCTGCATTTTGTTTGTTCAATTCAATAGCATAATTATATTATTTGACAGCTTCAGCATATCGTTTTAGCATGTTTAAAGTAATTCCTAATTAATAAAATTTGATTCCTACCTTTATTTATATATGAATCTATATGTTTTGGATTAAGTTTAAGTGCTTAATCATAACTAATCAAAGCATTATTATATTCCTCTAAGTATTGTAATGATACACCTAATTTAGTACCTAAATATAACTTTGTAATGAAATATCTAAAAATCTTATGGGTCTAATTTGATTGCTTGATTAAAACAAATAATAGCTTCTTAGTATTAATCTAACTAATTTAATGCCATTCCTTAAAATTGTAGTAATTTAGATGTATACCTTTGTTTAGATAACACTATTTATTTTTTTAATCTAATTTTGTAGCTTAATCGTAGCAAGCAATTGCCTCTTCAAATCGTTTTAAGTAACATAAAGTAATTCCTTATGATTTTTATTAGTATACCTTTTTAAATATAAGAATTGGAATCAATAGCATTTATTTTTAACGCCTAATCATAACAATATATAGCCTCTTCATAGTGTTCTAATTAATTTAATGTTAGCCCTAATTAAACAAATAATTATTACCTTTATTAATATATATCTTATCAATTTATTTAAAATTATTAACCTACTAATCAGACTATGTTAATGTTAAATTTAATTATTCTTATTTATCCTGGAATTCTAAAAGATTCAACAAAGCTATTACATTCAGCTTTGATATTTTCTATTGCATTTCTATAAAGTATTATGTCTTTTAATTGAATTCCTAATTAAAATACAATAAATGTAATACCTTTTTAAATAAAAAAGTTAAGGAAATTACTACTTAACATGATAGCTTTATCATAGCAAGTTATAGCTTCTTAATACTTATTTTATTGAGTTAAGCTAATTCCTAAAATAAATTTAACTATAAATTGCCTTATTTACCTTTATTAACAAATAGCTTCATCTCTTCAGCATTCAATTTTAGAGCTTTATCAAAGCAATCAATAGCCTATTAATATCTTTTTAAATGATGTAATGAAACTCCTAATAGAATATTTTTATTATACTACCTTTGCCATTTAATGCTTCAAAGCTCTTTGAATTTATATTGATAGCTTAATTAAAGCATATCAAAGCCTCTTCATATCGCTCTAATTAGTTTAATAATATTCCTCAAAATTAGGATGATATTATACCTTTATTAATATATGTTTAGAAATGTTTTGGATTTTATAAAAGGAATTCATTATAAGATGAAATGAGATTTTCATATTTATTTTTATTCTTATTTGAGTTTGAAAACTAAATATTTCCTATTAATGAGTAATGTTTTAGTACCTTCATTTTTCTAAGCAAATTAAGAGGACAATTTTAGAGCCAAATCATAAGATTCTAGAGCTTCTTCATATCTATTTAAAGAATGTAATGAAATTCCTTGAATTAATAATTCTTATACCTTTTCGATAGTATGCCTCTGTGTCTTACTGATTCAGCTATATAGATTAATTGTAAAAATAAAGAGATTTTTCATGGAATCCAAGTTAAGATAAAGAAATCCCTAATTATACATTGATAATAGGGATACCTTTATTTTTAAATGATTCCTGATTGAGAGGATTCAATTTAAGAGCTTGATCATAACAAGTAATGGCATCTTTGTATTTTTATAAATAATCTAGTGATATTCCTAATTTTCATTATTATGTTGTATCAACCTTTACAAGTATAAGAAAAAATAGTTTATTTATACATTTCATGTATTTTATCATAGAAATCTAGTGGTTCCCTTTTTAAATGATCATTATTTAAAGACTTCCCTAATGTATGATGTAATTACTTTACTTTGTTTAGAATCTTCAAAAAATTGTTTCATCAAACTCATAGATTGAAAATATGTATCACCACAACCTTCAAAATATAATACTATTTCAAAATACCTTTTGAAATATTCATTAATTAGTATATTATTTATTATAATTATTGATTTATAATTTACTATTTTATCTTTAAAAAAATATTTAGTTTAAGATGTTCTAATATAAAGTATCTCTTAAATAAATTAAAATGAAAGGATTAACTCACCATCAATTGATAAGATAGTAATCTACAAATGTGTAAATTAATCTATAATTATGTTTTTTATTATTGACAACAAAATAATGATACTTGGCTATTTAATTTAAACATTTTTTAATATATAAAATTCTAAATTGCTAATAGTTTTAACTAAATTTACAAAATTCTTACTATAAATTTATAAGCTTTGAATGTGATTTGTAGATAAGACAATTAAATAAAAATGATATGAAGTAATGTTTTAATATTTAAAACTGACTAATGTAATTTAAAAGTCCATTAAATAACATAAATATTGTTCAAACAATATTAAAACTTTTTGATTATATAATTTTTGATAACATATAAAAATTTTAATAGATAAGTTTGAGTATTTACAAAAATTTAATTAATTGTTAACATTACTTATAAATAGAATATATATAATTTAATAAAATATATAATAGAATTTCAATGTTGAATATTAAAATCTTTATATAATTATAATATCAAATCCTAGTGAAATCTTCAAATATTGCTTCTAAACTGCTGTGCATTATAAAAAAATTAATTAAATGATAATAAGGATTTAGTTCCATGTTGTTAAGACTTTTAGCTATTAATCTATAAATAATTATTCTTCCAATTATTATAAGTGGCTCTATAACTAATTGTGATACTATGACACTTCCTAAAAATATAATTGCTACTATATATTATTCTGATTTCATCGTAATTCTAAAATAGTATAATAAATACTTTATTGTGTAAAATATATATATAATTAGATTAGGGGTCATTAAAAATAAGATAAGAAGTAGCTAACTAATAACAGCAGCAATTCGTTAGAATCTGTATATTGCTTTGATTATCTTATAAATAATTCTTAATATAAAGATTGTTAAAGGGTTTAAAAAGATGAATCCACAGATGTAAGATATTGAGTTATTTAAAAAATAGCATTCAAGGATTGATAAAGTTAATAATAAATTGAATTAGGAGAGTAATTCTAAAATCCTATAACTAAATTAAATATTTGGATCTCTATAATTAAAAATTGATATCATTTAATGTACTTACTAAAATAATAATTCAATATTACCTTAAACTATTCCTTAAAAACTCTTAAACTACCTTTATATATAAAAATACGTTTATTTAATTTGGTTTTTGGACTCAAGCAATTTTATTCAGTATTCAACCTTTCTTGCTTATTTTTTTAATCTTTTAATAATTAATATATATAAATCATCATAAATATTGATGACAAAGAAATAGTACCAATTTGGAGTGCTAATAAATATTCAAAAATTGAGCTAGTAGCAAGATCCTATATTGAGAAATGATTATTGTTTGAAATGACAGCACTAGTATTTGCAGAAATTACTAGAAAAATTTCACCAAACCTATTACATTCACAAGATAACTCTATAGTATCATTCTTTATTAATCTATTCAAATTACATTAATAAAATTTTCCAGTTATTGATCTAATTATACACTATATTTTGTATTCTTATAAGTAATTTTCAGTATTTGAGCAAATTTAATAGGATCCAAATTTTGTACTATAATCAGATGAAATGTTTTCAGAAGATACAAATCTAAGTTTATAAGAGTTTTTCAATAAAATTTAGTAGTAATATTCTGAGTAAATTTGTAATGTTTAATCATTAAATTAAGTTTAGAGTATATTTACAAGATCTGAAGAAAATCTTAAAGGATTTGTTTTTAAATATGTAGATTCCTATTAAACAAAGTCTGTGAGATAATCTTCTTTTGTCTTTTCAATATTAAATTATTGATTGAATATTTATTTTGTTCTTCTTTTTATTTACCAAATAATCTCATTTCCCTCTAGAACATAAGGTTTTTCATTAACAAAAATTGTATTTTATATCTCCTCTACAATTAGA